CACCAACTGCACCGTGATGATCCCGATACGTACACAGTCACGGTAGACAAGCGTGACTTTCTGGGGGAGCAGCCGGGCGATGGAAGGCATGGGAAGGAAGAGAGGCGCACAGAGCGCCCATACAGCGGGCGTGGAGGAGAATGACAGCGGGGGGCGGCCCTATTGGTCGAGTAATGCCGCACGTTGCAGTTAGCAGCGCACTGCAAATGGCCCACGAGCGGTGCGAGCAGTAGCAGTCTTGTCCACATGTGTGTGTGTGTGTGTGCATGTTGCCCTCTGGAACGTGGAAGATTATTAACATGACCGTCTTGCATCTATAATTATCGGTGCATGATCTAGCAGCTGCATTCCCGCCGGCCAGAGCGAGTCGTTTGTGGCAGCCATCTGCACACCCTCACCCTCACCCTCACCCTCACCCTCACCCTCACCCTCACCCTCACCCTCACCCTCACCCTCACCCTCACCCTCAGCATCGGTGTGCGGTGTGCGTGCATTCACTCCATCATCATCCTCCATTGCCAGGGCCCTCGCCGGCGGCACATGGCAACGACTATAGGCTGAGGGGCCGACCCAGGTTCTGGCTGCCCGCCTGCAGCAGCTGGTCATGACCCGCGCCCAAGTCCCAAAGTCAACATGCGCGGGCGGCATCTGCCCCCCCATTCTTATCAAATTCCCGTGGGGGGCCTTCGCCCACCCGGCCTCTTCTCGTGCAGCCTTTCCAGCTTTGACAGGTAGGCCGATTCTCTGTCGCTGTTCCTGAACTTGCTCCTGTACCTGACCTGGACTTGTGCCATCTGCGCTTGCGCCTGCGCCTGCGAAACAAAAAGGTCGCCTCTCTGGCCTAGCTGCCGGCGCCGACACATGTGAACAACACGCAATCATCCCGGTCCCAATTCCGCCCCAGCCCCACCCACCTGTCTTCGCGACCGCCAAATTTCTCCCTTGTTTGTCTCTGCTCCCACGGCGACGACATGAACAATTCGGCTGCGCAGTCCTGGACTGCTGCAGACCACTTCGCCATGGACACGTCCCAAGACAACTTTGCCGGTGCAGAGTTCATCGACTTTGACAATCTCGACCTTGACTTTGATATGGACGGGTACAACAGTCAGGGACCCGCCTCGACTGGAAGCCAACTCGCCGATCTGACCGATTCACTCAACGTCCACCACCTGCAAAACCAGTTTCCCCCACAACTCGCCCCAGATTATCACAATGGCCCAAACGGCGCCCAGAAATCCCACAACATTCCCCCTCATGGCCTCTCCCAGCAGCCTGCAAACAACTTCTTCGACTATGCCGTGCCCCAGCACACAGCCCAAGGCTACCCTCAGCCTCACGACCAACTCTACCGCCCACATCAGGGTGTGCCCCCCACACCCAACAGCACAGAAATCCATGGCGACCCCAACCGCTATCTCCAGCAAGTCGAGTCGCAGCAAGCCCTCTTCGATCAGAGGTACCACATGCGCAAAGATGATGCCGTATGTTTGGAATTGGAAACCCCATCTTGAGCCCCGGCCACTGACTCTATATAGACATTTACCCCCCTTGTATCGCCTGCAGTCACGCCCCACGACACGCGCTTCCAGATTCCGGAATTTGCCATGGCTGGCTCCTACTTTAGTCCTCTCACCTCGCCCGCGTTGACTGCCCAGAGCCAACAACATGCCCATCAACCACAGCAGAACACGGCTTCCGAGAGCTCTACAGGCCATTCGCCCATTGATCTCGACATGGATATGCTGGGTGAGTCTGCAATTGTATCACAAGACCAGGGAAGAAGGAACACAAGAGCCGCAAACAGAAGAGTTGCACCACGTACCAGCGGCAACGCTCGTGTACGGCAGTCTCCCATTGTAAAACCCAACAGGCGAAAATCTAACGGCTCCTCGCTCGTTCTACCCAAAGACGTCACTGACCTCGTGCAAAATGCGCGCTCCCAACATCCGCTTTCCGCTGGTCTGGATGCGCCTCGCACCCGCGAAAGCTCAGAGACTGACTCCATCTCTCCTGAACCCATGCTCTCAGAAATGCGACCACCGCCCAAGCCTAGCTCTTTAACAGCTTCGCCTGCTGTCATGGCCCAACGCAGCAGCCAGAGCAGTACTCCAGCCACCCCGGCCTCTCTCATGCGCATACAGCCGTCGCCTGATTTCAACGGTTCTGAGCAAGCACCGCCAATGCTGGAGGAGCTCACCCTACCGGAGGCGTCTCTCGACAGGCCGAGCTTATCAAGGTCAGACACGGCGATTCGGGACGACGACGACGATAGCGGTACGCCTCGCTTATCTGCGCGAAAGACACCCAAACTGAATCCCTTGAGCACGCCTGGCGCAGCCATGTCAGGCCGGCCCAGCCCCATGCTTGACGCCATGTCCACCCCCACAAGTCCAGCTTTCTCAATGACAAGCAGCAGAAGAGATGCAAAGCTAGCACGCAACCCCAAGAAGAGAAACAGCGTCAGCTCCCATCTTGTCAGCCCTGCATTGATGCCTAAGATTTCGCCCAGCATCAAACCTTTGCTACCAGACGGTGGCAGTGGTAAGTGAATTGCTAGCATTGATAGTATACTCTAATCTGACATTGCCCAGGCACCACTGACAACACACATGCTCTCCTGCTTGCATCCAAGTCAAACTACCAAAACATCCTCGATGGCACAACGGTCCCCGGTGTAGTCTACCCTACCTCCCTATCCACAAACCTCACTTCAAAACGCACCTCGCACAAGATTGCGGAGCAAGGCCGCAGAAATCGTATCAACACAGCTCTGCAAGAAATGCAAGCTCTTCTTCCCTCGCCACGATTCGGTAACGTTTCCGACGCCAAGAGCCCAGAAACAAACGCACAAAACTCCAACAACTCAAAGGCAGCAAAGGTTGAAAGCGCAATTGAGTACATCAAGCAGCTGAAGCAGGAGGTGTCGGAGAGGGATGAGCTGATTAGCAAAAAGGACAGTGAGATGGATGCGCTGAAGAAAGAGTTGGCTGCACTCAAGAGATGTCAATCCGAAGGCTCAGCACCAGAGACAACAACCGAAACCAAAGCCGAAGCTTCTTCCAGCCCGAACACTGAGAGTAAACGATGATGAGATGTGTGATGATTTTAGGCTCGACTCTTACACCTAGTAATTACTCTATTTGGAAACACTCATGACACAAGTCTGGTTTGGAATTCGTTCCGCCAGGACGTGATCGTCACTCAGCTCTGCTTCTTAGCGACAAGTGAGAATGTACGCGATACCGGCCCGTCTGACAAGTCAAACTTTTTCGGACCGGAAGCCACCGTTACATACTGGCACAAAAGCTATACACATGTAGTAGTAGCCAATCAATGGAGCTGGAAAGTAGGACTGGAACTGGAACTATCTTGGCAAACAATGTCAGGGGTACACGATAATGATGCACATATACCCAGCAACGCACATATTTGCTCAAACCTCTCTCTCTCCACACATTGATGGATGATGTAGCACAGGTACGATAATATTTTACCTACGGCCTTTTTTTTGGTTTGATGAATGAAATTTCTGGAGAGACAGAAAAGATTGGGCTGGTAGTCAAATCAGCCTCACACCTACATTTTTTTTCATCCGGTATCACAAGAAGACAACGTTTTATCCCGTAGACAAAAGAGCATTGACGGCCTACCTAACCTTATTTATTTTCTCTGCTGGGCATCGAAAGTTAGAGAGAGAGTGAGAGTGGAGTAGTTGTACCCACAAACCTTGATATCAATGTACATATATGATTCATTAATGACTGTTGCGTATATCTTTACCTATGTGGACCTTCCAATTCTTCTTTTTGTTTTTTTCATCTGAGAAATATCAATCTAAAACGCCATGTCCTAAAACAGATGTGAATAAAGTCATAACGTACCAACTTACTCGTAATACATGTTCTTATCGCGCGGTCGTCTAAAACATGCTGAATCTGATGTTGGTGAATATTAACTACTAACTACATAGTATTACATCACTACTCACCTCTAGCCTAATTATTTTGTGTATGAGCCTAAGAAACAAATAATAACAGAGGATGAAATTTAATTATGAGAAAAAGAAAAAAAAGACAAGACGAAATGCACGCAAAGGCAAGGGATTACGACAAACTGGATTTATTGATCACCAGAATTGCTCCAATCACACGGGGTAATTATGACGACAATAATAACGCCGTGACATGAAATCAACAACAACATACAATCAATTCATTAACTAGTCAGAACGACAACCAATTAATCAAACACCACATTATTCACTCACTCACTCACTCATTCACTCACTCACGTTGCACATGGGCTAAAACAAGCTTATAAGGAAAACATACATTTCTAAAGCAACGCAAACTAATAACAAAAACACACACGACACACCCTCCTCCACACATCCACCCGTCCCCTTTTCCATCTTCGAGCACAATGGTAGCAAGCTAGTGGTCTCTTCCCCCCTTCTTCTCCTTTCACCGCCGGAAGCTGTCTTCTCACTGAAGTACAGCTACTCCACACCCCTAGCCGCCCACTCATTGCGTCCCTTCGAGTCTACCAGCCAAGCTTCATCCCCATACATTTCTTCTTGTGATAACAATTTAACTTCGTCCCCTTGTTCAAGTTTTACCTCCCCACAAGCTGGCAGCCAAATCCGAAGGGGGGAAACTCAAGGAAAACGTACTGAAAAAAAAACCATACAAAGGACAAGGGGGGTAGGGGATAATTAATGCGGGGTGAAATCAAACAAAAAAACATGCGCAATCAGTCGGAGAGCTGCCCAGTGACGCAAAGCTTCGCAAGACGTTTCGCATGAACCATTGGCTCCAATTGGCCAAGGATCGTTGAAACATGTCGTCTGCGCGCTGAAGTACTGTGCCAATTTGAGATAACGTGTGGGTCGAGCTTCCAGAGATACGAGATAGTCGAACAGGACACCGTGACCATAGCAGATGCGAGACACCAAGTGACTCCCTCTAGGTCTGTACCAGATGCCTGCCGACTAAATCCCATGGACTGATCAATAAGCGACGCCGTCCAAAATGTTGCCAGGACGGCGGTGCCGCATTTCCCATTCGTTGTGCGTGCGAAGCCAAATTCAAATAGGCGGACCCGCAAGAGTTGAGATGACGAATCGAAAGCCGCATCAAGAATCAGTAACCGGATGCATACTGGTCCCCGCCACGCTTATTGGCTGAACGAAGCTGCCTGAAAAAAAGAACAAGGTTAGTAAGGTCTGCATCTGACATCCCCCGCGCTAAGCGTTATCACACCAAACGCAAAGGAGAGGGTCCCTTACGAGGATCAGATATATCGAACTCACATTCCGGTGCCCTCCTGGCGTGCGTTGACCGGTCCGCGCTTGGTGCCAGCAGCGGTGCCGGCGTTTGCAGCAGCCGTGGTTGTGACGTGGCGTCCGCGACCCTTGTCGTCTTCATCGCCCTGGCCCTGATTGGCAGCTTGGGCGATGGCTTGGGCGTTCTTCTGGTACTTGTAGACGGTCCAGTCAAAGACGTAGTCGTACTGGAAGCCCTCACGAACAAAGAGATCGCGGAAGATCTTGCGGAGGTACGAGTAGTCCGGCTTGTCATCAAAACGCAGAGAGCGCGTGTAGTTGAGATAGATGGCGAACTCGTTGGGGAAGCCACGGCACAGGACTTCGGTAGGGGTGGTCATCTTCTTCTCCATGATGCGGTCATATTTCTGCTTCTTGGTGGCCGCCTTAAGACCCTGCCAGGGAAGGGAGCCACGGCAGAAGTAGAGCATGACATAGCCAAGGGACTCCATGTCGTCACGGCGGGATTGTTCTACGCATGTTAGCCACGAGAGGCAAGACGGGTAGGGGTGAAGGAGGTTTACGTACCGACACCCAAGTGAGTGTTGATACTGGCATAGCGGGCGGTACCAGTCAAGTTCTTGTTCTCTCTGTAAGGAATGTGGAAGTGCGTCTTGGGGTCGCGGTACTTCTTGGCGAGACCAAAGTCGATGACATTGACCTGGTTGCCGCGCTTGCCAATGCCCATGAGGAAGTTGTCGGGCTTGATGTCACGGTGGATGAACGACTTTGCGTGGATGTACTCGATGCGCGAGATGAGCTGGTCGGCAAGAAGCAGGACCGTCTTGAGAGAGAACTTGCGGTTGCAGAAGTTGAAGAGATCCTCGAGCGAAGGGCCGAGCAGATCCAAGACCATGGCATTGTAGTCGCACTCAGTTCCGAACCAGCGGACAAAAGGAATGCCTACGCCGCCAGCAAGCGACTTGTAGACACGGGCCTCATACTCAAGCTGGGGGTGCTTGGCCTTGACGCTCTCAAGCTTGATGGCGATCTCTTCGCCGGAGATGATGTTGGTGCCTGTACATGTTAGCTCGGCTCAGCTGAGGGGGGTGCGGCTGGTACACACCAAGGTAGATGTCACCGAAACTGCCACTACCAATTTTGCGGCCGATTCTGTACTTGTTGCCGACGCGGAGGTCCTACTGGGGGGTCAGCCTGGTGCGTTGCAGAGATGCACCTGTCCGACATGGCGACGACAAGAAGCAGTGGGGGGAGCATGGGAGGGCATACCATTGTCGTCATGGTGGGATGAGGTTCAACCTTGAGGAGGCTGGCCCGGTGGTGAGGGTGAAGTGGTGGGTGGGCCGAGGGTGTTGACGATGGGACGTGGGTGTGTTTTGAGGATCAGCCTGCTGTGGACGGACCGGTCAGTATGAGGCTTTTGCCCACAAAGGCGGTGAGTAAGCGGGGAGCGGGCAGCCGAGCAACGCTAGAGGATGCAGTCGAACGCGTCGATAAGGGGAGGGCGAGGACTAGGAGGCTGGCGGGTTTTGGGGGGGAGCAGGTGATGGGGGTTGCGTGGGCTGTGTGGTGAGGGAATAGCGAGCACACAGGGTTGAGGGCGCCGGGCTGGCGAGCTGGGCAGGACTTACGATAGGGCGTGCAGTGAGCCCAACGGAAAACGACCGCGAGGCGGCTGTGCTAGGGCGGTGGGTGGTGAGGCTGTGGGCGTGTGGGAGTCGGGGGGATGCAGGCCAGAGAAGAGCAGAGAAGCCTGGCAGAACAAGCACACAGCGGCGGGAGGAGGTGCTGCTGCTGTGAGGACGCGGATGGAGAGGATGCAGAAGACGCACCCGCCGCGCCTGCTGGGCTGGCATCGGCTGCGGCTTGCGGCTGGGCGCACAGTCACGTGGGGCGCTAGGTGGCGACGTCTTCACTGCGGGTGCGGCGGCGGTGTACATGGCATGTATCAAGCGCCGCCTACCCATTCCCTGCCCGACTCGCGCCCCATGGCCGCTACATCGCTACCCAAACCGGCGGCTTGCTTCTGCCCTCGCCCGCAGCCTCCCCCCAGCCTGCCTCCATGCAGCCCGCACGCTGCGTTTCAAATGCCGCAAACTGATGCGAGCCATGTGCGCTTGACAACCATGGCGCCATCGTGTTTTTCCCTCAGCGCATGCAGCCGCCACCCCTTGCTGCGTAGTCGTCGCGAACACCATCCTCTGCCCCATGTTACGATCAAGCAGTACATCTTCTACAAGTTCGCCGGCCCGACTGAGGCTCGCTCGCTTCCCACGGCTCCACGCCACCCCGGCTACCCATGGACGTCTACCCTCGTGCAAGCGTCAGCGCTCCACAGCTACGCCCTATGCCACACCACACTTGGTTGCACCCTCATGTACTGCCTCAGCCCTGGGGGCCAGGGCACGTACACATGTACCTACATACGTGTGCTGCACTCTACCGCTTGACTCTTCGGCGCCATTCTGTGCTTTGACCAGCCCTCTTCGTACCCCGACACAGCTATCGGCGAGGTGCATTTGCCCTTCGAACCAAGCAAAATGCTCTCGCCACTTTGTCGCCTGTCTGGCTGCTCATCACACTCGACAGCATAACAAAATCGTCGACGTGCCCCCATGTTTTGCCAGACAAATTCTACACAGCAATCCATGGCACCACGCGTGCCTTGCATGGTCACCGATGCTGCCCAAGTGCTTGGACCTCTACTAGCACAAGCGTATGCAATGCCATCTCAGTGTTGCCCCAGCAATCGCCCTCGCATCCATCCGGGCCTCTGGCCATGCGCACCAGATGCAGTGATACTTGATGTCATTTTCATAGCTCCGTTTGGCCAATCGTCGTAAACCATGCCAAGGCCTGTACACCAGAATGCCTTTTTCAAGACTTTGAGCACAACATGCTTTTCTTAAGCGGAACCTGACCTGTTTGGAGCACACTAGAATCTATAGTCAAGGCAGACAAGGCTCTGGCTGTTGGTTTGACCAGCATTGATTTGGTAAAATCTATATGGCCGTCTCAGTGCGACATTTCCATCCTTTTCCCATTTCTGCGGTTATTGTACACTGCATCTGATAACATCCATATGCTCAAACCCCGCTTTCCACGTCATGCACTTTGAAGCTTAGTGGTTCGCTGACTGGTTCTTGAGGGCGGGGTTTCGTGGGTCGTTCTTGTACTCGTCGGCTGGCTTGTGTCAGTTTGCGAACTTGGAAACTGGTGGGCCAATTCAGCCACTAATAGGTAGACTACGCACCCTGGGACATGGCGTTCGCGGCAGAGTTGACACCGTAGAGGATGACAAGACCTGGTGGTTTCTGTTAGTCCAGCACTCCCCACAGTCATCCCTTCATTCGTTCTTCCGTGCCCTCCAACATCCCCGCAAATCCATCTCTTTTGCTTCCGTAAAGTTCCATCGTACATGTGCATCCGACTCCGCAACGTACCAGAGACGTAGAAAGGCCACATGGGCTTGGCTGTAATTCCTTGGTTAGCAGTCGTTCGAGCTTCACCATTGGCTGTCAGCGACGTTCATGGAGACGTACCAATTTGCGCCGGGAACTTCCTTCCGAGAAGAGGCATTTTGACGTGTGGTGGAGGGGCAATGGATTGATTGGCAGTTGCGATGAGGATGGGCGGTGGTGGTGTTGAGCTCCGGTCGTTCGGCTTGCAGAACTTCGATATGCTTGGCATCGGCGCGCGTAAAGACCGACCCGTAAACATCATGTACACCAAGGGCGCAACAACCCCGTGACAGACGACTCCGCCAGCGATCTGGAACCCTGCACCTTTACACTACCCAAGAAACGGTCGCAGTCATGGCCTCTCCATTAGAAGGATGTGTAGCCTCGCTACGCAATAGTATGCAACTACTGGATTCGTCCATTAATATATTGGATGACGGCGTCAGCGATCTTCCTCGGCTGGCAAAAGTACTGCAAACAACACGAGTACGTAAACTATACTCCATAGCCTTTCTGGTGCCTCGACGAAACTTACATGTTCCATAGCACTTTGAACTAATTTCCGAGTCGGACCTTCAAACGGCGCAAGCAGGACTCCTCTCGGAAATACGCCCAGAAATCGACAATCTCCTCAAGCGTGTAGAGAACTACGTAGACAAACTCGAGCGTCGCGAACAAGCCCTCATAGCCAAATGTGATCTGAATGACGGACGACTTGGACGAGACAGCAATAGCGGTTCAGGATCCAGGCCAGCGAGCAGGAGTACGCAGAGAAATGGAGGCAAGGCTATCAGTGCGCAACAGGAGTTGCGGTTCAAGGCATTAAGAGCAAAGAAAGACAGACTCAGTTATGCGGTAGAGACGCTCGAGCTCCAGGCGAAGCAACGAGAGAGACAGCTGAGGATGAGCATGGCAGCGCCACAACAACTATACGATGACTGAGCCTATATGGACTCTCTCGTACCATGCTAAGTGGGTGGTCATGTAGCATGTGGATGCAAGGGAACAGCATCGTTGTGTTTGGATGAACGTTTTGCAATTGAGATACCCCTGGCGCATATATATAGCACACAACCCAAATGTCATCGTCTGAGACCCCTGACAAAACCATATCAGCAATTATTCTTTGTGGACGTCAACCTTTATTGCTGATGTCTTGTGCAACTTGAAATGGTGGGGAGCATACATACAACCAGTGATAATGCGCTAGCCTTTTTGACGGTGCATCATCGGCTAATTCCGAGAAGCGCAGAACTCGGCTTCGCAGAAACACCACCAGCTCCGGTAGACCAGCCATTGCATCTTCCCCACAACTCCGTCCATCATGAGCGCCCTCCGTATCGCCAGAGCCGCCCTCCGCGCAAGGCCCGCTGCCATCGCCCGCCCCATCCAGCGAAGAGGCTACGCCGAGGTCGCCAACGACAAGATCAAGCTCTCTCTAGCTCTCCCGCATCAGGTACGCACCACCACCGCCCATGCGTCATTGCAACTGTGCCGGTGAAACCATGTGCATTCGAGAAACAAGGGCTGACAATTGGTTTCCAGTCCATCTACAAGTCCCAGGATGTGTATGTTCCGCAAATCCCGACCGATACCGCAAAAACGATTTACGCGATTACTGACTTGGGTCTCCGTGCAGTGTTCAGGTCAACCTCCCCGCAGAGACCGGTGAGATGGGTGTTTTGGCCAACCACGTTGCCTCTATTGAGCAGCTGAAGCCCGGTCTGGTTGAGATCATCGAGGAGCAGGGCGGCAACAAGCAGTTCTTCCTGTCTGGCGGTTTCGCCGTTGTGCAGCCCAACTCTGTTCTCAGCATCAACGCCGTTGAGGGCTACCCTCTCGAGGACTTCAGCGCCGAAGTATGGATGAACATATAAGAAGACGAGCGAATTGCGACTGATGTGAAAATAGGCCGTCAGGAACCAGATCGCAGAGGCACAAAAGATTGCCAGTGGAAACGGCAGCGAGACTGACATTGCTGAGGCCAAGATTGAGCTCGAGGTATGTTTTTGTGAGTAATGGTTAAAGACAAGTTACTGACACGTTGAAGGTTCTCGAGAGCCTGCAGGCTGCGCTCAAGTAAGTGTGTAAACAGCGGACCCAGAGCACGGCATGGGTGGTATGTATAGTAACTGGCGCTGCGTGCTTTTCACGCGCAAAGGATAGAAGGAACTTCAACGAGACAAACCACAACATTCCAAATGTTTTGCACTTTTGCTCTTTGTCGATATTGCTCCACTGTCTATGCATGTGTACTTGTATTCGCACACAACCCTATATGGCACCTTTCTTGTTTGGCCCTTGTTGACATGTTCGATTGCATCTCTCCACTTGCCCCTGGTGAATCTTTACCGTGGCAATCTAAATTGTCCAAATGGCACTAACCCACTAGCCGGTATATTGATACGCAACAAACTGGCCACTTCACATTTCCCTGAGCCTTGATTGGGACAGATTGAGTTTCTACATGCTGTACCATCAATGTGTGAATATGCGAGCAAGTGTCCTTTTCCCGACTAATTGAAAAAAAAATAACAATGTCAATTTCAACCTCCCCATCAAATAATCTACTAAGAGAAGGGAAAGCAACCACAACTTATGTCTTCTCCCACTAACTTTATTGACTTCCCACCATCATGTAAGCTAACCCTTTCTAATAAATCTACTCCATAAAAACCCCCTCCAGTATCCCATCCCCCTTATCAACCAAGCACTCAAATATCTCCTAATCTTTCTCCACCAAAACAAACCAGCTGAACCCCATTCCCCAAACATGCCAATCTCTTTCTCTCTCTCTCTCTCTCTCTCTCCCCTTTATTTCTCACATTCTTAAAGAAACCCATACATACGTACGGAACCCGTACTGAAGAAAAGTAATCACAAAAGATGCATACTATTACTCCCATCCCACTTCACTTCGTGCTAGTTAGACTGGAAGCAACGATGAATGGAAGCAAAAGTAACTTCAGAGGAATTTGACAGGGAGAGAGAGACAGAAAAAAGAGGACTGGTTGTAAGAGTAGTAATGAATGCGGGTTGGAAGAAAACACTTGGTACTGTTGCTGAACTTTGGGACTTTAAAAAAAAGTATCTTTTCTGGGATTAGAAGTGGGCTGGAGGGGGTGGAGGAAGGCGAGGATTGGAGTGACTGAAAGTAGGTGTTCAGAATCGTCTCTTTGTTGTGATACTAAAGCTTGGATGTTGCTTGACAAGCGTCAATCCTGACGTATATTATTCTATTTAACGACATAGGGCAACGGATAAGGTCCTAGACGACACCATCACTTGCAAATGATTTACTAGTACTTCAGAGGCATCATTCATATTGGATAAAAAACTATTTACAAAATACAACCGAAATCTACCTCGCATCCATACCCTGTAGGCCCATGGCCTCCTTTGTGGCATCCACCTTCTCCGCCTCACCCTTCTCCCTCAGCGCTACCTTTTCCACTTCATCGAACGACTTGAGCGCTTCGCCATATTGTTCAAACACGCCCTTCCTGTAGCCCTCGCAGATCTTCTTGACGAAACCCTCCTCGTTCCACCTCGCCTCTAGGAAGTCTTCAAACTTCTCCGTCGGCGATGATCGCTGCACACCCCACGCAGCTTTGTAGGCGGCACCGAGGGCGCAGGCATTGCCTCCAATCTCGAGCTTGTAGACACCATCGGAGCCGCCGAGGACCTGACCGGCGAGTTCGGCGATGGCGGGGTTCACGGCGCCGCCGCCGACCATGTAGATGCGGCGGGGTTGTGCAGGGAGGTTACCTTGCGGGGAAACAAGCGATTGCGAACGGAGGCGGAGCGACAAGAATTGTGACTCGAGGATTGCGCGGGCATCAGCCTGGGGAATTGGCCAAGTCTTGTCTTCTGTTTTGCCTTGAGCGGCTTCTGGGGCTACTGGCGATAGCTGGTTGTCCTTGGCAAGGAAGCGCCATGTGCCCGCCTTTACGTTTGGTACAATTTCAGGCCGAGGGAAGAAGAGACCTAGGCGCATAGGGTCCGAAGGCTGTGCCTGACCTAGAGCGGGTGTGGTAAGAGCTGTCTCGTTGAACTTATCCCAGGACTTGTCTGACACGCCAGCGGCCTTGTTGATTGCGTCGCGGATATGCTCACGAGCCAGACCACCGTTCTTGTAGCACAACATGAACATGTACAGTCCAGCAGTCGTGGGGTGGTTCATGAAATGGTACGCAGGGTCGGGTCTGTACTGCGGCGTAGACATGAGGAAGGTTGTCGATGTGCCGAGCGATACAATGGCGTCTGAAGCACGGAGAGGGAGAGCGAGGATTGTCGACGGGTTATCGCCTGTGAAAGCAATGACTTGCGCTGATGATGGGAACCCGAAGCGCTTGCTAAAGTATGGTGAGATGGTACCAAAGCTGGAACCACCATCTTCATAAACCTTGCCCAATTTCTGCTTGAGTTCGTCGAGGCCTCCGCTTCCTCCAGCTGCGAGTGCGACCAAGTCCTCATGCCAGCGTCCATTCTTAATGTCCCACAGGTTCGCACCCGTCACATCCGAGATATCCATCGGGGCCACCTTGCCCAAGAAGATGGATGCGAGGAACGAGGATACGAGAGAGATGCGAGCGGTCTCCTTGTAAGCCTGGGGGTATTTTTCCCTGAATCGGAAGATCTGAGGGCCACTGAAGCGCTGTTGGAGAGGTCAATGGGAAGTCATAAACCCAGAGTTCACGATACTTACGTGGTGAGCACTGCTTCCAGTAGCCAAAGCCAGGTTTCTTGGGTCTCCTAGAGTCTTGTCAAAGGCCTCGCACTGCTTTTGTGTGCTCGCATCCTGCCAGTTGGGGCTGAATGGATGGCTGAAAGCACCCTTCCTCTCTCCTTTGGCACCACCCTCCAACTGCTCAATTAATGTCTTTCCAGAATCAAGACTGCTCAGCAGGGTCTCTGCATTGTGGTTCCAAAAGACAGTGCCGTGCTGCATGCCGGCGCCAGAGATACCCTGGATCTTTGAGAAGTCTGCGCCCTGTTCCTTCAAGCGCTGCAGCACCAGCTCGATGGCTTCAAGCCAAAGAGCAACTGGTGCAAATACCTCGCCCTCATCTGGATTTGTGAGGACACCCTTTTCAATGCCGTACTTGGAAAGGTCTGCGTCAAAGTCGACCTTGGCCTCGTGAACAAGTTTGAGGTCAGAGCCGACGATAATTCCTAGAAGCCGGCAATTGCGTTAACTTAAATGCAAAGGCGGTGGTGGGGTAGCTCTCGCGGGGTAAAAAGTAACCCACCTTTGAGCTGCTGGGTGCTCAGGTCGAAGCCCAAAAACTGGTCAGCCATGGTCGGAGTGCGTGGGGTGTGTGTTGAGCTGCAATGGCGGAACTTGTGGTGTTATGACTTCACTGGGCATTGCTTAATTAGCCGTCAAGTCTCGTTGGTGTTGAGAGACCCTCTTCATATCCCGCGGTACATCACACTTACATACCTTTTTGCCGATGTGGGGCTCGCCTAGCGCCAACTAGGTGTAGCTCGCAACCTAAGTACTCTATCTCGGCGTTTGTATTGTAGCCGCCCAATAATAAGCTACTGATAGGTAGAATCAGGAATGGTTTTTTTTTCATTGTAGGCTTAGTGGCGACTCTTCTTCGTCATAATAGTGGTACGGTGGCTACTACGACTATGACAAGCTCTTATTGCTCGGGACCCTTGTTTGGAATCAGATCAAGCGTCGAGCTTATCTGGGTTACAATATCGAAGTCGACATGTAAATACACATATACTTCGCAGCATACATAGTAGACAATATCAGTGTTGGATAACTGCCTCTGTCACACCTCAGCGCAGCTGCAGTTTGCCCGCCAATACTAGACGTGTCAGCTACACCGTACTTTGCGGTATGCATGCCACCTGTCTCATCCCATCTAGGGTGCGACAGGCCTATTACCCTATTGACCTTATTCATGTATATACTAGCCTCCATAGACAGATAGTGAATGATCATATCTTCAGTTCAACAATCAGGTATGCTTCTGCTTTGTCCTACCTTGGCGGTTCTTTTGACCGAAGGCCTGGCTTCCGGGTCAGCCGAATCGGCTACTTGAGTGCTAGGTCCAGGCTCCTTTACCAAGACAACCGGCTTACCCACTTACTTTTCATCACGATGACCTGGTATTCCATGCTTGTTGAATCTACTAGAAGTTACTTTGTGCTTGCTCCAATTTCTACAGCATGGAGTCGAATTCACATTTTTCTTCGTTGGTCTACTGACTACACTGAACCGTATTTTATCATCTAGGAATGCAAAACTATTGAAACGCATACAACCATTTGAAACACAATCCTACAACTCAAAAATCCCCATTAGTCCTAGCATCAATATCGCTAGCGGCTCTGCCATCCCCGTCTCCCCGTCCCAGGATGTCCATTCTAAGCCCTCGTATTTAGTCCAACCCCTACTAAATAACCCTAGATGAGAGAGCTGGCTAGATGCCACCGAGGCCACGCAATTCAGAAGCCAACAAATCAGCAGTCTGGATAGCTAGAACAAACCCCAAAACCCCACAAGTTAGAACCTAAACACTGATAAATCACTCACCAAGCAGCAAAGATGCCTGTCCCATTCATTCGATACATCACGAGAGTCTGAGCACACCTGGTCAGAAAGAGTGAGAGAAAGGACCGACTGATGGATAGTCGTGGAACATAAAAGGGCATGAGATTCCTGTCTTGTAAACGATACCAACATCAACCAACTCTCATCGTCACTACTAAATCCTCGTAACCTCCAAGATCAATCTCCCCATCAACCAACCAACCAACCAAAATGAAGTTCTCCCTTCTCATCAGCGCCATCGCCTTCACCGGCGCTGCCTACGTACGTCCCCTCTCTCCTCCCACCACGCCAAAAAAAAGAAGAAAACCCCCTAACACATACCCCCAGGCAACCACCTGCCAATGCGGCGGCCCAGGTACATCCGCAACATCGAGCTGCTGCTCTTCCGCAGGGGGTAAATTTTCAGGAAGTACCTGCACAGTGAGTGCCGATGTTGGATCGATTCTGTCTAGTTGGGTGACGTGCTGTGAGGGCAAGGGCCAGGGCCCCAATACGACATGTAGCGAGTAAAAAAGTAGAAGAAGAGGCCTATTTCTGCAGTTGAAGAGAAATAGGTTCACAGTGGTTAGGTTGTTATGAAACATGAATATATTGTACGTACGAACTTCGCAAAAAAAAAAGATTGATATGTTAGTATGCGAGTGAATTTACAAAAAGTGTACATGAAGACTTTTCGTTGTTACCTTGGATCCTGGCTTCCCGATGCAATATGTGTCCGGCTTTTATTGATTATCTAGCATTGTAATGGTAAGTACCGATAGCATGGGTGATAGCGGTGAATCTACAATACATACCATGGTCGTACTCAAAAGACCCACATTGAACGGGAGAGCTAAAACATATTTGCCGGCGGTGCCTGCATGCAAGGACTTGCATATCACCACTGGCGCGCTATTGGGCGGCGGATAAATTGCAGCCGACACTTCCCCGTTGCTTACTGCTTACATGCTCTCTTTCAGACGCCGATGGGCAGCTAAAAGAGGACAGCTGTTCGCCTGATAAGTCGTGGTCTAGAACAATGGGGGGCCAGTCACGGGGAATCATGGATTTCTATGGATTCGATACATAGTAGTCTATATACGTCCAAGTGCCAAAATGGCCTGGTGTATACCGCCAGGCAGTCTTGGTATGCCCAACTCCAGAACGCCCAGTCATGCATGTCTAGAAGTGTATCCAACTCATTTCCTTCGCCTCGCACCGTCGGTTGTACTGTTGTGATCATGGCTGTGATCATGCTCATGTGCGTGGTCGTGCTTTGCTTCTGATTCGGAGCCCGGCGATACAGTAGTGTCGCCTGGTATGAACTCATCCAAAAAGTCTGGCTCCTTTGCTGTGTTGCTCACGAACCGGACGCGAACCTTCTTTACTCCCCGTACTTGAGCGCCCACCTGTTCTCGAACCGTGTCCTCCACGCTGCGTGTCTGCTCAACCGTCCATGCGCCAGCTACGCCGAGTTCAATATCCATGAGGTAATTCTGACCCGCTTTGACACCTTGGATTGCCCGTACGTTTACTGGCTCAGCTGTGGTTGTGATGCCCTCGAGAGCCTTAGTTGCTGCCTTTCGGACATTGTCCTTCATCTCCTGATCCACACCCACATCGGCCAATTCCAAGAGTGCTTGCTTGGTGTTGCCCCAGCCTGCTTGAACAACCATGAGAGAGATGACCAGTCCACCGACAGGGTCGAGCCATTGTGCGTTGTTGAAGACGTTTGAGCCGGCAATCAGGAGAAGGGCCACAAAGGCCGTGAGAGAGTCGACGCGGTGGTGGTAAGCATTGGAAGCGAGGACGGTGGATTTGCGCTCTTCAGCGATTTTGAGTGCTGCGGAAAGGGTTAGCGCATTGGCCCAGGCAGTGTCGCGTGCGTTGCTTACTCGCTCGGTATAGCCATTCCTTGATCACAATTGAGCCAGCAGCGAGCCAGATGGCATTGATGTTTGGGCCCATACCCTCAATGCCGTGATGATGATGATGGTGGTGTGGTAGCAGCCCCCAATGTTCCGCTACTTCGGCAGCGCCAGGGAAGAATTGCTGACAGAGGGCGATGAGGGCGGTCCAGCCCATGAAGAAGCCTCCACCGAGTAGAATGCCGCTGACTCCCAGCGACCCCAAGCTCTCGACCTTTCCGTATCCACTAGGGAAGCGACTTGTGGGCGGCTTGAGGGACCAGCCGACGGTTGCGAGCGTCATGATGTCGCTAACAAGGTCTGTAAGGCTGTGGATGGCGTCGGCCACGAGTGCTGGGCAATGTTAGTACGGGTAGTGTGGACTGTATGTGTCCTCCTTACCCTGGCTATTGAAGACGTATCCACCAAAGCCCTTGCTGATGGCCATGCCCAGGTTGACATAGAGGCCGACTCTGGTAATGCGCACGCCAGCGTCATTCTTGTTCTTGGACAGCAGAAAGGTGTTGTCGTGGTGATGGTGGTGGTGGTGATGCAGGTGCGAGTGGCCAGCATGTGAATGCGAGTGCGTCGAGGCCGTCATGGTGGGAAGGGAGAGGCTGAGTGTACGGTGTCGGGAGGAGGACGGTGGGAGCAAAGGGGATAGGAGGCCCTGTGCGGCGGGCGCCCTCGTGCGGGTGCAGTGGACACGCGCCTTTGGCCTAGACAGCGGCGGCGACGAATACGCGTAACGTGAGAGGGCGTGCGGTCGCAATGAGGCGTGTGTCGAGTACTCGGGGTGAGCACTATATATGGCCTGGGGCGAGGGTGTGACAGCGCGTCCATGGCTAAAGACACGCATGCCGTATCCATCTCTGCTGACGGTACGCAGTAACATGGGCCGTGGTGGCAGCGGAGGCGCCTCGTGCTTGTGCGGGAGTGCCGGATGCTATGCGGCTGCTCTCTCTCCAAGCCGATTTTGCGCCTCTTCTGCGGTTGCGGTTGGCTGCCGGTCCCGGTCTTGTTCCTGGTCCATCACCACAACGCCTTGTGCGTCAATTGCCGCAATTGTGGGGCGACCCATGCCATCTCGACATGTTCGACTCTACATACCACGACCATGTGCTACACATGTTGGGCAAGGTGTACACTGCCGGTACGTACCACCCCGCCCGCTGCAACGCATGCTCACAATGGGCAATTCAATTGATATACATATGGCATTATGACACGTACCAGTACCAACCCGTCGGCATTCCTGCAGAGACATGGATGGCCCGAGTAGTTTTCGCGGCGCAAATGTACCACCAAAGACACGTATCAGCATACGTACATACATACACTCACTGTACGTCCATGCACGTCCAAGTACATGCGTATGCACCTAGTGCTACCCTTCCGCTCTTCGAAACAGCTCTCCCGCGGTTGCATCGCCCCGCCAGCTTGCCCGCCATCGTCTTCAAAAGCTCCGACTGCGCATCATAGCCTTGGCTTTGCGCCATCTACTCCGGCTGCGTCCGTGCACCGGGCCAGGATCCAGTTCACCACGTCGTCTAGGAACGCTTCTTTATCAGGACTAGGCTCCTCATGCACTGGCAATGTCAGTGTGCCGTCTGTCTTTTGGTTCCGAGAGTATACGTACGGCGATGGTAATGCCCAAGATATGACTTGAACTCCTTGTCCTTGACTTGCAAGGCATCAAATAGTCGCTTCGACGCCGCGTGGCTAGTGATGCCGTCCTTGTCCCCATGCCCAATCCAAATTCTCGTCACGCCACCTTCCCCAGCATTGTCGGGAATCACAATCTTTCCGCTGGATAGAGCATTGGTGCGATCAAGCAGCCCTGCGAGGCCCTCGAGAGTGCCTGTGTCGTGGCAAAGCGGGTCCTCCTCAAATCGCTTGCAGACTGCTGGGTCGCGTGATATGAGCTTCGAGTCCAGCTTGTTGACCATCTGGCGTTTGCCCGCCACTTTCCCAGCCAGCCTGCCAAAGAAGACAGTAACGGCAGACGGCTTGGATTTGGGGTCAAAGTCAACAAAGGGTGACTCGAGGAGGTAGCCACGAATGTGCTTGCGGACCTCGTCAGGGCCACGGGCCGCATAGCACAGCGTCTGGCCTCCGCCCATGGAGTGGCCCATCATAAAAAGGGGCACTGGGCTGGGAGTACTAATAACTGTCTTGATGAAGGAAGTAATGTCGTCGAGAACCTGCTCAGTTGGACCCGTGTCGCCTCGCTCAGACGGCTTCGACACGGATTGGCCCCATCCTCTGCACTGGCTTTAAGGACATAGTCAAAAATAGTGTGGACGCGTACGCACCTCTGGTCAAAGGTATAGACCTCGATGCCTTTGGCAGCGAGTCCGGGGAAAAAGTCGGCATAAGTGTTTACTTTGCTGCCTGTCAGACATCGGTCTTGTAGCAATAGGCCCGTATCGCCTCACCGTGCTAGCCATCATCTGTCAATACTGCCGTGGACGACGTTATCTCAAGGGCGACCATTACAACGTACATCTGAGAAGCCATGGATAAAAACCAGTCTTGCCTTGGGGGGCCCGTCGGTCTGTTCAATAGATTAATGCCGATCACTATGGCGCAGGCTCCACTGTACCCTGAAGGTCTTGGTGAACAACTTCTTGCCATCGGCGAGGGTATGCGTGCCCTCCTCGACAGACATGGCGGCTGTATGCGGGTGGAGTCGGGGCAAACAGGCAAGGCAGGAAAGCCAATGTATAGGAGGTGTAGTTGGGATCTGCGTGGAAACGGACTATTGGGGGCGCTGGGCGATGGCTAGCAATTGGAGCTGCGCTGCGTTGTTGGCATGGCCCCGAAAGTCAGCCGCTGCGGCCGGATGCGTCATAGCTCCGGGTGCCATGATGCCTGGCGCCCGTCAGCCACTCGGCCGCAATGGATGACCTATTACTATACGCACCCAAAAGGTCGCCCAACAAGCTGAATTGCTAGCCATGGGTTGGAATAGCCCAGCATATACGACTATAGTTAGTGGCCGGCAAAGCTGCCGACTTGTACCCAAGGCGTGAAGTCGGCTAGGCTCAACGGCTGCCGTCCAAGCTCCTGCCCGATGGATCATCCTGCATACGCATTGGACCCCTCTTGCTGGTGTCCCCACCTACATTTTCCTCGTGCTAAGATACTTCTTCTTCCTGTTATGAACAGGCTCGCCCGCCGACTCCCGTCTCATCCCTTTCCCTCGCGACTTCTTCCTCCACCGAGAAGCATGCTGGGCAGCATGCCGCAGACACGCTCCGCCAAAGCGATCCTCAGCCATCAAGACCGCACCGCCAACGAACCCCGGGAGAAGGAGTTGCACACTGCTACCCTTACCAAGGTGACGCCCGTCAACGACCGTATCAAACGCTTCGTATTCGAAATCAAGGACAAGAACGGCTTCAACGTATGACGGAATCCATCTCGCCCGCAACACATGCGCTGATGGACAAGTCAGTTCCTCCCTGGCCAATGGCTTGACGTCTTTGTGCCAGACGTAGAAAAGGCAGGCGGCTTCTCCATTACCTCTTCGCCTTCCGAGGCGCTGCCACGAGCGGACCCTGAGCACAAACCATACTTTGAGTTGGCGGTGCAGAAGAGCCCAGACAACCCTCCAGCAGCATGGTTATGGAAGCCAGCCGAGGAAATCATTGGGGGTGAGGTCAAAGTGCGAGTGGGCGGAAGCTTTGTCTGGCCACCACCGTGCCTTGACATGAAGAAGATCAAACGCGCCATCTTCATTGCCGGGGGAGTGGGCATCAAGTAAGTCGCAACTACCCCACACGGATTAGCTGTGCGTCTTCGGAGACTAATTCATATGCACAAGCCCAATGATGTCAATGATGACCTATATAAACCAGAATTATCCCAACCTCGAAGTGCGCTTCCTATACTCGACAAAGGTGCCATCGCGCGAAACAGATCCCAGTGAAGTGCTTTTCCTCCAGGACGTGCTCGACCTCTTCCGCATACCCCGATTCAAGGTGACCAAAGACCGACTTGAGCTCTTCTTCACGGGCACATGGGACGGGTCTGAAATGGGCACAAATGAAGGGGACCTCATACATCCGCTAATGTCTCTGACACTGCCGCAAATTGACTCTGCCACGGAAGTGCCCGTGTGCGCATGGACGCACCGCATCGATGACATAGCTCTGTCTAGCGCAGTAGGCAACCGGAAAGAGGCGCAATCAACCGTCTTCTACGTGTGCGGGCCGCCTGCCATGGCGGACGAGATGGTGGAGTTTATCAAGGCACAGGAAAACGTGGATGCACAGAGGGTGCTGTGCGAGAAATGGTGGTGATGGAACGAGAATGGATTAGAATGGACCAAGGCAAAGATAGTGATAGGGCCGCATGCGGGAATTGTGGGGAAGGCGATCGGGACTTGGGGAGTTTGCATGCGCAGTGGTTCCATGGCGGCAAGCGCTATTGTATGTACGATGCTCACACCATTAACTGTATTTTACGCGCCCACAAAGGCCGCAAAATCGCCATGGCTCGTGATGGACGGGCAGCGTGCTCCACCCTGCAAAGCTTGTTGCGCAACCCGGAGTGCGCATTTTGCTCTGGGCTCGACACCAGGGCTGGGGTCGCCGTCTGGGCGCATGGTGTAGTACGCAGATAAGTATGCCTTGTGGTGGCACAGCAAGCGATCGCTTATGTAGACATGTCAGAGTGTATGTATGCAGTGCAACCCCGCGGCCAAGTGCTCGAGTTCATCCGTCCTGTTATCACGTAGGGTGAGATTGCAAAGCCCAAAACGTCGCTATTAACCCACATTGTGCGGTCGTGAGGGCAGGGATTAGCGCAAGGGACACGCCCTCTAGCTCCCGCTGACGCTGCCGTCCTGCACGCCTGATTCGCCATCACACTTTACGAGCTGTGTGATCGCGCAGCATGCGTGTGCCACTCAGCGCCTGCCATGGCTCTTTCGCCCCTCAGCTCACTACCGCCATCGGCTAGAATGCGGCCTTGGACGCCTGTTAAGAGCATTCCTCGCCCCGGACACCTGGGCGCTGATGCTGATGGCTTGACTGTGCGCCCGCGACTCGACCATCGCCGTCCAACAAGTACCACCACCAGAGACGAGCCGTAGCAGTCTCTCGTCCCCAGCACCTGGTTGCGACGCCATTGCACCACCGCGATCCTCTGCGCATTCGAGCCCTATCCCCCCCACACCCGTCGTCATCCGTCCTCGGCGCGCTGCCTGGACCGCTCACCCCGCCCCGCCGCCATGGGCTTCTTTATATCGCGAACATGGCGACTGCCATCAGTCATCTGGTTCCTCATGGTCTTCGAGCTGCCCTTTACCGTCGCCAACCTGGCACTCTTCGGCATTGCCTCACCAAACCTGTATCGCACCATCTTGTGGAGAGAGGGCGGGCTGATGGGCTTCAACTCGGACCCCACCACCGTTCTCTACTCGTATGCCAACTACCGACCCGTAAAGACGCCCCTCGTATGGAGCAGCTTGTGAGTGCTCGTTCCCATCTTCACATCGCCAGCGTCGCCTAACAACGTTCCAGCAACACGCAATATCATCTTGTCATCGGCGTCGTGTGCACCTTTTTCTGGCTTGTCAAGGCGACTCTATGGCTCCTAAAAGTTTTCTATCCCATCCTGTCCCTTCCCCTCCATATCGCCCTCGCCTGTCTATGGGCATACGGAATCTATGTTCAAACCGCTCCTGACACCATCGATCCGCAACGCGTGAACAATGGACCACCGTGGTACATTACAAAGAACTGCGATATTGTAGACGACAAGAACATCAGAAGCTACTGCATGCAAGCAAAGAGCAGTTTTGCTGTGAGCATCATTATGCTGTACGTCTCCTTGCGCCTGTAAACAAAATGGCAAAACTAACGCAAACCAGAGTAATCTATTGTGTTTTTATCATCCTGAGTGTCTGGTCTCTGATCCCTACCGCCGCTCAAAAAGAGGCACATGCTGTCAGGAAAGCGGAAAAGAAGGCCGAGAAAGAGAAGTGGGAATCTTCACCTTACGACAACGAAATGACGGCCGAGGAGCAATGGCAACACATGTGGGAACTGCAACAACTACCCCGTACTCCCGGCACAATTGGTGGCATGAAGTCGCCCATGACACCACGCACCCAAGCCTTTAATAGTCTGGGTGGTGAAGAAGCGGGGCATGGAGGTTTCTATCCGCCTACGGGGCAGCATGGATGGTACGGCCCGCCGCAGCACGGTGGCGTGCCAGTGGAGACTGTCAGTCCAGTCATGGAGCATGACGAGTACCCATACGGCCATGATAATAGGGGGAAATCTATGGGATGGGGTGGTAACGCGTACTGAGTACCGAGTACTTTTGTCAAGGTGTTTTCTTGTGTTATATTTTGGGACACGGCGTTTGAGCGTGTGCAATTTTGAGATACCACCGGGGGCTTCGTCTTCACTCATTACCGGGATATGAGGGGCACAGAGGAAAAGGATACAAAAGGATCCGTCATCGTTCTCAGGATGTTTAATTGAATGATTATATCATTGTCTTTGCAGAATACTGAGTCGTTGTCATACGTTTAGTGTGACGAGGAACATGTGACACTGCGCGAACGCATACATGCGATTGCGCTACACCTGATGTAGTGCTACTGCACTTGTGCTCCACATATCAACCCTCGCATTTCCTCCGGAGATAGTGCCATCAACCTACCACCTCAGTAACATTGCCTTCCATGTCCGCCAGCCAAGGGAACCACATCGTCTGTGTGGGTGCTGTTTACATAGATACCATCCTGACGTAAGTATTCGCTTCTCGTTTTGGCATGTTTTTTAGTAGCAATTCGCTGAAACAAAAGTGTACGTAGTGTCCCGCACTTTCCAATTGAGGATGAGAAGCTGCGCGCTAAAAGCATCACGCGAAGAAGAGGCGGAAATACAGCAAACAGTCTAGAAGTACTCTCACAAATTCTAGAGCACGATAAAGCGCCTGCAAACCCTCCGATTTCGACAAACTTGCATCTAATGGCAGTACTTCCGAGCGAACAATCTGCAGCTTCCCAGTTCATCTTCGAATCTCTTCCAGGCGTGAACATATCTGAGTGTAGTTTATTCCGAACAGATCACCAGGAAGCCGCCTCCAGTTACATCATCCAAAGTGAAGCAAAGCGCTCGAGAACTATTGTCAGCATCAATGAGCTTCAAGAGATGCAAATCTCTGAATTCTGTCAAAAAGTTTGTGAATTTGCCAGGACGAATGTGGGACAGGTTTGGCAAAAAGCATGGTTTCATTTCGAAGGCCGAATTCCAGAAGTTACACATGCTTGTGTCAAGTTCCTGCGACAAGATTTCCCCCACTTCAGGATAAGCGTGGAGTGCGAGAAGCCTGAACGCACAGAAATGGCAGAGGTTGCAAAGCTCGCCAATGTGGTGTTTTATTCGAAGCTCTGGGCGGAAAAGAACGGATTCACGGATGCAAGGAGCTTTCTTGAAGCACAGCGCGCAGACAAGCAGGACGGCACAATACTTTTTTGCACGTGGGGTTCCGGAGGTGCCATGGCAGTCAAGAAAGGAACTGACGAGTCTTGGGCGAATGTCAAGGCATGGCAACCGCAGAAAGGTGAGCCCACTGAGGTTGTCGATACGATTGGTGCTGGAGACACTTTTATCGCTGGAATGCTCTTCGCTCTTAACAACCATGATGAATGGGTACTGCAGCATAAGTTAGAATTCTCAAATGAACTTGCCGGTCGCAAGGTCTTACAGGAAGGCTTTGGTAATCTGGGCGTCAAGATGTGGTAGGTAGATGGAGGGCAGCCTTTAAACGCTTCCAGGTCAGCCCCCAGACAAACCTTGCATTGGATTCTCGAGGGATGTAACTTGGCACGTTTCCAAGACTTTTGTAGTGCCATTGGTCACTTCTTTTTCAGCCCAGATCGACATTCAAGTGCGGGACGAGCCTCCCGGCGCAGTGTCCGGCATGTTGGAGCTACATCACTAGCCTTGGACATGTTCGACTTTGTGGCGTCTTTACCCCGCATGTTCTTTTAATAGACTGGTTGTACTGGAAGATAAAGGATGCGCTATTTTTGGTGTTGCGGGAAGCTAGTAATTGGAGCTGCGGGGATAATCGCTGGCAGTGATTTGAGCAGATGATGCCCCAAAGTTTTGTACACGGCAAAACGACCGCATTACGGGGAATAACTGGTATTGAAGCGCTATCAAGATTCCGGTAACATGAACAGAATCTGCAGAGTCGTTTGTGTTCAGACTGGCAAGTTGAGACTGAGGGCTAACTGGTATGCTGGTGGAGACTATGTTGAGTTGACGAGCATGAGGCGGCGTCTGGTGAGAACTTGGAGACACTTTAGGTTGAGCCTTAGTACTATTATGATGCCAAAACTTCTCGTATGGCATGATGAAGTTAATGCTGATGTGTGCGTTTTGAGTGGTCAAGATCATTACTGTGCAACACATGTGACAAACTACTTGTTGACACATGAGTATCGTTCCTCCGCGCTACTCGTTACTTGTTCAGGTTTTCTTTCAATAACATCGGCAATCTTCAGAATTAATGTATAGATATCTATGAGATGCACGGGATGTGCGTAGTCGCTAAGGACGAATGCATACATAATGGTTTCGCTATTGGTGCGGCTCCCCGCATCCGCAAGAGTACCTCACATCTGCACTTAAACAAGATCAACATTCGCTCCTACCTTAGTGAGTACACGTCAAAAGCAACCGGACTCACTATAAAACTTAGACCAGTACGAACGTGAGTTGATTTTGATACACAAAATGCGAAGATTTCATATTGTACCTATACTGATCTATTTGTTAGCCATCCAAACCTGCAGAGCAACGACTTCTTATCCCCCATATCAACAAGAGGTGTTTTCATTACTTCCTTGTTTGTATCTTCCTTTTGACTAAGAACTTCCAGAACAACCCATTGGCAATGTATCCTTTTGGTCAACCTTACCCAGATGCCTCCAATGATACGCAGTCGCGGCAGAATGAACTTTGGATGAAGATTCAGCGTGATGCTCACGAGGATGAGATTGACTTGACTGTTCTCCCGTTTGCCAAGGAAGCTATTGGCAGTATTGCAGAACTGGCTGTGAAGCAAGTCGATACCAAGCAGTTTGCATTTCAAGGAGCGAAGCGGATAGACGTGCATACACAGTGAGTTGTTTCCTCTTCTTAGATTCTTTGGTAGTCTAAAGAAGATAGACTAATATGGAAAATGCATCTTCAGTCCTATACCTGACTGGTTCCGAGAACTGGAGTTGAATGCAGCAGGTCGTGCAACGCCCTCTTGGACTGTGCAAGACCACCTTAAGTTTATGGATGAACATCAAATAGTACACTCAGTTCTTTGCGTCTCTACACCACAGGCAAATGCGTTCTTGACTGAGCTGGATGAAGACTTGAGGAAAAAAAAGACGCTCGCGCTAGCCAGACTACTTAACTGCTTCACTGCAGAGCTTTCCAGGATTTACCCTGAGCGATTCAGTTGGATGGCCATCATGCCACTACCCAATGTCCAAGAGTCAATCACAGAGTTGAAAAGAATGTTCTCAATGAAAGGACAAGAACCCATCGGCGTCGGCGTACTTACGAACCACGAAGGCCTGTATCCCGGCGACACAACGTTCGATCCGCTATGGGCCTTTTTACAGAAAAGAGCAGATGAAGAAGGAACAAGAGAAGTCGTCTTCGTCCATCCCACCGAACCCATCATCAAGCTCGATGACGGACGCTTGATAAACTCGCGACCCTGTAAGCCGTCCCTTCTTTCCTTGCACCACCACAACGAAGAATAAACAAACAAGACAGTCTGAACTAACAAAACCTCAACACCAAAGCTCCGCTCCGCTCCGGCCTCTGCGAATTCTACTTCGAAACCGCCCGCGCAATCTCCAGTATCACCGCCTCCTCGACCGTCCTCACCTACCCCCGCCTCCACTGGCGCATCTCCCACGGCGCAGGCGCCTTCCCCGACATATCCGAGCGCTTCCTACTCGGCTTTCCCAACATATCCTCCGCCGCACGACAGATTTACAAATCGCGGTTTTGGTACGACAGTGCAGGGCCCGTGTGGCCCATGCAGATTAAAGGGTTGACCGAGGGCATGCAGGTGCCGGTGAGTCAGATGGTGTTTGGCACGGATTACCCGTATGGGATTGGGTTTTGGGATGTTGGGGAGAATATTGCAGGGCTGGCGAGGGTAGAATGGTTGGAGGAGGGAGAGAGGGAGAGGGTGTTTTGGGGGAATGCGAGGGGGTTGTGGGAGGGGAGGATTAGGGATGTTGGGGGGAGTATGAGATAGGAGATGGAATAAAGTGGATGTGGATTTGGACCATGGCCGTTTGAATGAATATGCTGAGTTTGAATCACATACGTATCGATTTGATTTCCGAGACTTTGTTGGGGTGACTGCCAGAGTCCTTGCAGCACGTGACTGAGATTTTCATTTCAGTTGCGTATGTCCAGATATTTCCTATTTCCAATTTCCAGGAATTCAGTGCGTTTTTCTAACAATTCCCTGATAGTATCTTTTAAGCCACTTAAGATTCAAAGGTTCGGTTAGCCGCGGTTGGGTTACTAGCGTGCGGAAGCGGGTATTGTCAAGTTCTATTCATGACCCCACTGTGACATCCGCCACACTCACAACCAACACTACTACGCCTTTGTATACGAAGTCGATACCGCAGTGCTTCTCATCATGTGAGAAAGTCCTCTTAGTCGATAACAAACCCACAAATGCATTAGGCGCAGAAAACCAGGCGAGGCGCCTGATAAAGCCTTGATGAGGGAAGAGCTGAATCTTCGATCGCGCTGAGGCGTGGAGACAATTGTAAGTATAAATAATCTCCACATACGCGATAGTACTCTGCACCCCACGACATTGGAGCCTAGCTAATATATCCACTCAGGGACAGGGTGCATGTCGCAATTTTTTTTCTGGGAGGCGTCGGGCGCGATGGCCCGAAACCTGCGCGACGAATCGGGGTATCGATTCGAACATCGCCAAGGCACATCATGAAAGAGAAGGTCAAGATGAAACAAGAGCTTATCAGTCGTCATGATCCGATAGAATCTATACTCGATCCGATCCACCAGCCGAGACCAATTGCTATGATCTCAACTTGTCGTGTTGTTCGGCAAACGTCGATGGGATGACGTTGATGACAAAAGCCCACAACATCGGTTGATTTCCAACCAACACATACCTACCAACTGCCCGAGCATAGACGTCTTCAAGCCTGATTCCTAATACTGCCCCCAGATGATTGGCGAGGATGCCTTACATAACGCTGGCACGAAGAGTTTTGCTCCACCATTGCTAGCGCGAATTGCGTGATCGCACGTCTTCACCCCCAGCTGTGGCACTTTGCGGAGATTGTTACAAAGCGGTTTCCGATGGCGGAGCTGGATATAATTCTCCAGCCCTGCTTGCCTTCTTTCCTCCAACATCCAGAACGCGACGCTTGGTAACAGGATTTTCTTTTGGGAAGCCTTTGTTAGATACCAATTCATAAAGACTATCCACTTGTGGCTTCTCTGCACGTGCCTCTATCGTTAGAATCCCGCCACACGTCGTCTTCGAAATGTCGTCACCAGTCTTCAGCAACGTCGAAACTTACAAGCACGCCACCATCCATGAGGAGTCTGGTTATGCTTCAGCCGAGTCGAGCCAGGACGGCCTGCAAGAGATCTTCTTCACTAGACCTCACTTGAAGTTCATCAATGCTCAGCTGGCTAAGCTCGAGCCTCAGGGTGAGTAACGGTCTTTCATCTCGTCCAAAGTTCGTCCGGCTAACATTGGGCTAGACATCCTCCGATGGTGCATTACATCTCTTCCTGGACTTTTCCAGACTACTGCTTTCGGTCTCACTGGCTTAGTCACTGTGGACATGCTCTCAAAGCTCGACGGACCCCTGAAGCACAACATTGATCTGATTTTCTTGGACACTCTTTACCACTTCGATGAAACGTACGCTCTGGTTGACCGTGTTCGGAGACGATATGGAACCCCGGTCCATGTTTACAAGCCTGCTGGTTGTGACAATGTAAACGACTTTACTGCCAAACACGGAGATAAACTGTGGGAGACCAACGATGAACTCTACGACTACGTTGCCAAGGTCGAGCCTGCGGAGCGTGCCTACTCTGAGCTTCAAGTCAAGGCTGTCTTGACTGGTCGTCGCCGCAGCCAGGGTGGAAAGCGTGGCGACTTGGACATTGTCGAGGTTGACGAGGCTGGACTTATCAAGATCAACCCCTTAGCTAACTGGACATTTGCTCAAGTTAAGGAGTACGTTGACGCAAACGACGTACCTTACAACGAACTTCTCAACAAGGGTTACAAGAGCGTTGGTGACTGGCACTCAACACAACCTGTTGCTGCTGGAGAGGACGAGCGATCAGGAAGGTGGAAGGGCAAGAACAAGTCTGAGTGCGGTATCCACAACCCCAAGTCACGATATGCTCAGTTTCTTCAAGAGCAGGAGATGAAGCGACAGAACGAGGATCTTGCCAACAAGCTGCAACAAGTCTCGTTGGCAGTGTAATGTTTCGGTCCAGAGCGTTCGTATTTTCGTTTGTTGTACAAATCTGCATTAGCATGGGCGTTTGGGTTTTCCGGGTTTAGCATACCTAGCATAGTATGTAGCGGCAGGATTTGGCTGGGGTAGTCTGGAACACCCCCATTTTTACGGCATTCAGATCCGATTGTATGCAATTGGAGCCGAGATATGACCGGTGTAGGAGCCGATAGAGTTCTTTTACGAATCAGACGAGTTGATATTTATGATTACTACCATGCTACTATTTAACTATGACACAAGTAGGGAAGTGGCTTGAAAAAAAGAGCGTGAGAGGAATACGGATACTGCATATCAGTGGACCCTGCAACCCTCTGCCCCAGGTGCGCGCAGCCTGTCATTCTCGTAGAGCGACATGTCCGAAGTTGAGACCGAAGCTACGCGGGCCCTCTTTGGCTCCGCTCTCACGTCACTTCTATTACTTTACGCAGTGGGAACAGTCAGTGTGATAGGCTCGTACATCGCGCGAAATTGCGCAATCGGTTCCAAAATCTGCCGACCCATACAAAACACCCGCTTTGAAGCCTAGTCTCTGCAGCAGAGAATTCCCGAGAGAGGCCAAGGTCAACAAATGGGAGCGTGGAGCCTGAAGTAGCCGTGGTTTGTAGAATAAAAAGCTCGTGGTGCCCGTTGCCGCTCTCTGCTCCTCAGTCGCGCATCGTTCTTTTTGAGTGACCCCAGAGTCCCAGATAATTAGTACCCTTTTTGGTTCGACATAGTCAGGAAAGACTCCAGATCTTGTCGCATTACTATCCCGCAAATTTCTACCCCAGGATTATCCTTTTCCCCTTCCAGATCTCTTGCGGAAATGGCAAACACACCCCATGGTTAGTTGCTTGCACAGTTTTTCTGCTGGCCCAAGAGTTGCAACAGACGCTGACCAGGCGCGTCTACTACAGGCGGCGTCCTCAAGGACCTGATCGCGCGCGATGCGCCCAGGCGCAAGGAGCTTTTCGAAGAGGCTGAGAAGCTTCCCGCAGTTGTTCTGACCGAGAGGCAACTTTGCGACTTGGAGCTTATTCTGAACGGAGGTTTTTCGCCTTTGGAGGGTAAGTCGTCATTGTTTCGCGGGGCAACATGCGAGGGGCATGCAACATTGCCCCTCGTGTTTGCCCTGTTTGCACCACCAGCACGGCACGGTACCTAACAGCATTATGTAGGTTTCATGAACCAGAAGGACTACGATGGCGTCGTGGCCAACAACCGTCTAGCTGATGGCAACCTCTTCTCCATTCCCATCTGCCTTGATGTCTCAAAGGAGACCATCGACGAGGTCGGCCTCAAGCAGGGCGCCCGCATTGCCCTCCGCGATTTCCGTGACGACCGCAACCTCGCCATCCTCACTGTTGATGATGTATACCAGCCAGACAAGGAGAAGGAGGCCAGGGAGGTTTTCGACAAGGACAACGATGTAGCCCACCCCGCCATCAAGTACCTCTACGAGACCGTCAAGGAGTACTATGTCGGTGGTAAGGTCGAGGCCATTGACCGCCTGGAGCACTACGACTATGTCGGTCTCCGCTACACACCTGCCGAACTGCGTCTGCACTTTGACAAGCTTGGTTGGTCCAAGGTTGTTGCTTTCCAGACCAGGAACCCCATGCACCGCGCTCACCGTGAGCTGACTGTCCGCGCTGCTCGTGCCCGCCAGGCCAACGTCCTCATCCACCCTGTTGTTGGCCTGACCAAGCCTGGTGACATTGACCACTTCACCCGTGTCCGGGTCTACCAGGCGCTGATGCCCCGCTACCCCAACGGCATGGCCGTACTTGCTCTTCTGCCCCTCGCTATGCGTATGGCTGGTCCTCGTGAGGCTATCTGGCACGCCATTATCCGCAAGAACCACGGTGCCACCCATTTCATTGTTGGCCGTGACCACGCTGGCCCCGGCAAGAACTCCAAGGGCGTTGATTTCTACGGCCCATACGATGCCCAAGATGCCGTTGAGAAGTACAGGGACGAGCTCGGTATCGAGGTTGTTCCTTTCCTCCAGATGACCTACCTCCCTGATTCGGATGAGTACAAGCCCAAGAACGAGGTTGAGCAGGGTGTCAAGACTCTTGACATTTCTGGAACTGGTACGTCCTTGTGGTATCTGGGTATAGAAGGCAAATGACTGACTGAATAAACAGAACTCCGCAAGCGTCTCCGAACCGGCCAGGAGATTCCCGAGTGGTTTTCCTATCCAGAGGTTGTCCGCGTGCTCCGCGAGTCTCACCCTCCCCGTAGCCAACAGGGTTTCACCGTCTTCCTGACGGGCTACCAAAACTCCGGCAAGGACGCCATTGCCCGCGCCCTCAACGTAACTCTCAACCAACAGGGTGGCCGCTCCGTCTCCCTCCTCCTCGGTGAAACCATCCGCAGTGAGCTCTCCAGCGAACTCGGATTCAGCCGATCCGACCGCGACAAGAACATTGCCCGCATCGCTTTCGTAGCTTCTGAGCTCACCAAGGCCGGTGCTGCCGCTATCGTCGCGCCCATTGCTCCCTTTGAGGCCTCCAGACAGGCGGCCCGCCAGACAGTCGAGAGGTACGGCTCTTTCTACCTCATCCACGTTGCCACACCCCTCGAGCACGCGGAGAAGAACGACAAGCGCGGCATCTATGCCAAGGCTCGCGCTGGTGAGATCAAGGGCTTCACCGGTGTCGATGACCCGTACGAGATTCCCTCCAAGCCTGACCTTACTGTCGATCTGTCAGTCAGCAACGTCAGGACAGCAGTGCATCAGATTGTGCTGCTATTGGAGAGCGAGGGTCTCTTGACCCAGTTGTAAGAAGAGAGAAAAAAAGGGACCGGACAGAAAAGTAAAAAGTGGTGGATCCTTTCTATGTTTTTTGTTTTGTTTGGAAATATATGAGCGATCATGGGTCAATTTTTTTTAACGAACCTATTTTTAACGAATTTTGTTATGAGCTTTGGGACTCCCTTTTTTTTGGAAGGGGTTCATGGATGCGTAGATTAGACGCATGAAGATGGATGATATTACTAGACTTGAGGTTTAGAATGATTTGATCAATATTTGGATTGATTTGATGGCATGATGGTTTTGTTTTGACCATGCTGCTTGAATACATTTTTTTTCCCTAAAATCTATTCATCTCTTCAATGTTTAATTATAGGTACAGTGATGTACAAGAATACAATCCACCTTCACAAAGCGCGAGTCACATTTTCCCTCGCTTCCTTCTCCCTCTTCCTTGCCTCCCTCTCCGCCCTGCGCATAGCCCTCAGATCCGGCGGCTTCTCAATCCCGAGCCGAGTCCTCAATTCATCAATATCCGTCTCAAGCTCCTCCTCCCAATAAACATTAATCACATCGCCACTCAACGCGCCATTCCTAGCCGCCCACGGCCCATAGACATCCCAGAAGCGGCGCCACTCGGCCTTCTTGAGCGTAAACGCACTAAAAACGGCGAGTCCCGTCATAGGCAGGCCCGTATTCGCGAATTCAAACGCCTTGAGGGCTACCTCGCCCTCGCGGAAGACAGGGAGTCCCACGAGCGCGTGGTAGAAATCGTGGCACTCACGGTACCGCTGCATGACGTATGCGCATTCCTCGTCGTCGATAAATTGTACTGGCGCTCGTGTATCGGGTGAGACGCCCTCGCGGTCCAGCCACGCGGCATATGCATACCCCAGTGTATTCGGTGCGAGCTTCCTTAGCCGCGGTATATCGAGGGATGTGGAGGTTAAGCGCGGTCGGTCGCGCAGGATACGGCGGCCCGTGGGGTGTAGCAGCATGCGATCGCGGAGTTTGTAGATGAAGTAGGGTTGGGCTGTTGCTTCGCCGAATGAGGCGATGAGATCTGAGCAAGTTTTTTGTAAGTTGATGAGGCAAGGGCACGCAGATTGGATTGCTCTGTACCTCCTCGTCTTGGATCGAGAAAACTGCCGATTCCGGAGCCCAAGGCGAGACCGAGGCGCTCTAGGCGTGTCAATGGGATGTGGCCCTGGTAGTTTGGTGGTGGGCGGTTGAGGACGGAGAAGCAGCGGAGCGATTGGGCATGTTGTGACAGGGTTTGAGGGGTTGGTCGCACGGTCAGCTTTGGGAGCTGCTGTATTCGTACATGTCGAGCCATTGGGCCGTCGCCAATGTGTTGGCAATGGCTGTTGTCTTTGGAGCTTTGGATGTACATCGGTATGACATGATAGAGGGTCTTATCGATAGCGTGCGCCACAGGCACCAGCCACATCAATCACGCTATTTATGACTTCTTTGCGACTCATCAGTGCTTGAAAACACTTTTGCAACAAAGGTCTCTTCTTCGCCTGGGCTGACCTGAAAGAGTGGGTGTTATCTGTTCAAAGATTAGTTGGATCAGCTTCTCTTCATTTTTGCTCGACAACCCCAGACAAGTAACATAACTTTTTTTTTCCAAGGCGGACACAGAAAGGACTTCAGTGACAAAAGTGACTCGAAAGATTACTATCAGACTGGAGCTCTCGAAAGTCTTATGTTAATCAGAAGAAACAAAAAATTACATCTTCGATAAATCATGGCAGCAGCTCTGGATCCTGGCACCAATCATACCGACTTCGTCTCATGGGCCAAGTCTAACGGCGTTGAAATCAATGGCATTGCTCCAGCGCGCTTCGTCGGTCGAGGAATGGGCATCGTAGCCGCTCAAGACATCAAAGTCAGTCCTACACATCTTCATCACTCCCTCCAACCTCATCTAAAACGATGCTAAATCATCAAGAAAGGAGATAAGCTAGTCCACGTATCCAACAAATCCCTAGTCCACGTCGCTCTCCCTAGCATCCACAGTCTCAAACTCCCAGACACCATCACTGTGCACGGAAAACTTGCCCTAGCCCTCGCCCTCTGGTACACAGGCCGCAAAGACCACGACTACACCCTCTGGCAAAACGTATGGCCCACAGCCTCAGATTTCAAGTCCACGATGCCATTCTACTATCCCTCTCCTTTGCAATCCCTTCTGCCCCCCGCAGCCCGCACCCTCCTAACCAAACAGCTCCAAAACCTCGAGCGAGACTGGACTAGCATCACACCGCACAACCCAGGTATCACAAAGGAAACCTACACCTACACCTGGCTCATCGTCAACACCCGAACCTTCTATTGGTCCTACCCAGACCTCCCCAACGCCTCCCCTCTCCTCCCCAAACGCCGCGCAAAACTCACAGCAGACGACTGCTACTGCATGTGCCCCTTTACCGACTACTTCAACCACTCCGATTCAGGCTGCGATCCGCAAATGTCACCCAGCGGCTACACCGTAACTGCCGACCGCGCGTACGCCGCCGGCGAAGAAGTCTTTGTGACATACGGTCCGCACACGAATGATTTCTTACTCACAGAGTATGGATTTATTCTTCAAGAGAAGAATCGACATGACGGTGTTCCCCTTGATTCTTTGCTGTTGCCGCTGCTGGATGGAGATCAAGTTGCTGCGTTAAAGGAAGATGGGTTTTATGCTAACTACACGCTGTTTGGAGAGGAAAAGGAGGAGAGAGTGTGTTATCGGACGCAGGCTGTGCTGAGACTGCTTGTGCTGGATGCGAAGAGGTATGCGGCGTTTGTTAGTGGAGATGATGATGGGACGAGGGATCAGGCGAGGTTGAATGGGTATTTGGCAGGTGTGCTGACGAAGTACTCGCGCAAGATTGTGGACATCATCGAAGAGGTTGATGGGCTTGATCTCAAAGGGGACGCGGAACAGGCTGAAGGAGGGGTTATAGAGGGCCAGAGAGAGACGCTTGTCAAGAGGTGGAAACAGATACGGGATATTGTCAATAGTGGGATTCGATTTCTCGAATCATAGTGCCCTTCCACACTCCACGCAAACAATCGAAAACTCAGTCATACCACACGGCCTTCCAGAGCTCATGTTTAAAAGAGTCATCTGTTTCATAATCGTCTGTTATGCAAACCAAAAACGTCTACTAGATAGCCCCAATTGACCTTTTACGCTTTCAATACGCGAAACTAAAACACCCACAGAGCAATAGCTCACGCTACACTACCCACAACCAGGGCTGCAACACCCTCCTCCTCACTTCTTACATCAATCTTCATCGTCACACCAGTCTTTGCACTAAACGCCATTCGTACCATGGCTGCCACCTTGCCACCTGTAATGGTCTTGCCGTACAGCTTAAGCGTATGTGTTGATGTTGAGAGGGCCACATCGGTGCCTTCCAATGGCTGGAGGGACAACGTCTTGGTGAGTTGTTCGGTAGCGTCTGCTCTCTGTTAGTAAAACTGCATGTTGAAAAATACGTAAAAAACATACCTGCTATGCTCTTCATGTTGCCGAGCTGCAGAGTCTCGGTTGCTGTGTCATTGTTCGACTGCTCCCATACATTGTCGAAGCTGCCAGCATACGCCGGTACAACGTAGTCGGCGCCGGTGAGGTAAAGGTCTTCGACCGAGTATTCGTCTGGGTAGCCATCGCCCTCTTCTGGCTCGTTTGTGCTTGGGTCGATCTCCTTGCTTGTGAACTTGAGTACGTTGGTGAAGCTTGCCGCAATGAATTGCGACTCAGTCTCAAGGCGCTTGAACGATACGTAAACAGTGCCTGGCTCGTTTGTAGAAAGCTTGGGCGCGGGGATGACAAACTCCTCCTCTAGTTGAACATCGCCGTCGTCTTCGGGAGTAACAACCATCTCAACATCCAACAAGACTGTGTCTTCGAGGGTGTTCTTGATGTCGTACTGGATGACAACATGGTCCTTGAAGATGTGCTTGATGGCGGTAACGACGTATTCGGTTTCCGATTCGGTGAGCTCGACAACATCGCTTGACTTGAGCACGCCTCCGTGAGCCGCGAGTTCGGGAATCTTCTGAAGCTCGGCAGCGTACTTTTGCGCATTGTTTGCTGCATTTGCGGCAGCGTCTGCTCCCGCTTTTGAAGGTTGCTTCGCAGCGCTGGGTGCCTTGAGTGTTGGGGTAGCGCCTTCGGTCTTCTTGGTAAGATCTGCGGCATCTGCTTGTTCGCGCGAGACAGTGGGGATCTTGGTGATGTCGAAGGCGGTCTCAAAGGTGTCGCGGGAATCTGAGCTAACGTACATGGCCAACTGGTGCTCGAGAACTGGAAGTGAGAACATGGAGTCGTTGCGAATGAAGCTGATGGCCATGTCGTCATCCTCTTGGTCCATCAACCGGAGGTTCAACGCAGCACGGTCTCGGACTTCATCATCAACATCGTCAAGACAGCGAGTGAGCAGAACGTGGACCGACTTCTTGATCTCGGGGTCCTTCTGACCAACACCAAACTTAGCGAGAGCAGAAGTTGCAGCGGCTCTGACAATAGCATTCTCCAAAACAACGCGGTTGTAGATGTAGCGGATGTACTTGGTAGGGTGAGGTGTTGAGGGGCCTTCGCGTCCGAGAACAAACAGAATCCGCACGGCGAGCTTGGTGAACTCGCAGTCCTCAATAAACTCGCAGAGAGTCGCAAGCGCATCCTCCTTGGCCTCTGGAACGAATCGAATAAGGTCCATAATCGCCTCCACAACTGCTCTCTTGAACTCGTAACCGCCTTCGTCACGCAGGATGCCGCTGAGGAAAGCAAGGAATCCAGACTGCTTGGACTTGAACTTCAAAGCCAAAGTTCGGACAGCCTCGACAATGGTCACCTTGAACTCGTCTGTAATCTCAGCCATGAAGCCTGTGATTTGCTTCATCAGCCTATCTACCGACGATTCGTTGCCCGTCTTAAGGAGCGTTGTGATGGCAAAAGTCGCGATGCTGCGGTTCGAGTTGGTGATGAGCGACTCAATGTCTTGGTTGCACGACCGGACGGCGTCAGGCTTGAAGGAGGCCATTTGTGAGAGGATGCGGAGAGCAGCAAACTTGGTGACGGCGCGTGGAGAAGTGAGGAAGAGCTGGAGAACGTGAACGGCCTGGACGAGTTCGGCGTCGGTTACATCGCGCATGTCGCAGATGGCTTTTGCAGCTTCGAAGTTGACCATCTCGGACTTGTGCCGCAGCCAGCCGTCGAGGAGCTGCATCATGGGCTAATGATACGGTCAGCAAGCTCTTTGTATTGCATGGAGAGTGTCGCACCTTTCTGAGGTTTGGATCCTCGTCAGCCAGCTTAGCCGCCAGTCTCACAAGTAAGACGGTAGCAGCAGGGCTCTTGACAACACCAGCAGCCGAGTACTGCTGCACCATCTTGACCAAGCTCATCCTGTCACCAGAGCGCATCTGGTATAGCAAGCCAATGGCGTGGTACTGTGTCATGTAGTTTGTGCTGGCCTGGAGAGCGGTATGCGAGCTTCCTCCGAATCCACCCAAGAAACCACCGCCCGACTTGCTTCCAGAGGCAGCCTCTGCAGCCTCGGACTGCCATCTCCTAACTACGTCCTTTGCGACCGGAAGAAGGTGATATGAGGAAACGAGAGCAGCCGAGGCAACGGAGGGGTTTTTGTCGACAATGCACGTCTTGACCAGACGCTCAATGGCCTGGACAGTGGAAGCGTCAATGACACGGCAGAGGGCGCGGATGGCATTTGGGCGGTAGACGACGTCGCTGCCAACCGAGGTATCTTTCATAATCGACGAGGTAACCATGATGACATCGTCGGCGGAGCCAGCGAGCTCCTTGATGACGAGGTAGACCATCTGGCGGAGCGAGGCATCTTTGTTCTGGAACAGCTTGGAGATGCCAAAGAAGAGGGTTGTGGCTTCTTGCCGGCCCCAGCTCTCTCCGGTGAAGAGCAGGAGGGCCAGCTTGGTCAGGATCACTCTACATTTCCTGGGTGAGATAGGGCTCTGGTTGAATACTCGTGCTGGAGTGCAACGTCAGCCTGTACTGCGCAACACTTGACCCGTACTTGTGCATGCGATTGCAAGCGACCCTACCTTCTTGGAACACAGACGTCTTGTCGATTTGCGCCACGCCGCCCGCATCCTCGTGCTTCTTGTCCATAGTGGTTGTGTGCAGCACCGCGTGCTAGCTTTCGTGGGCGTAGATGTATAAACCTGTCCCGCTCTTCCTCCGCCTTTAACGTGGCCTCTGCAACGGGGGGAGGTATTATGTGGCCAAGCGCCGCCCAGCAATTGACGTGGTGGAATGGAGGGGCGAGTGCAGGGTGATTATGGCGGCGTGGGCGTGTAGTCGGGTAGTCGTGGTGAATTGGCGACGTTGTATGTAAAGATGGGCTTGACCGGGCGGGAGTGCAGGTGCAGGGATGTGGCCGCTGTGTGGGCTGCTGTTGCATGCCTCGAGCTGCTTGGCACCCGGACTCTGCAACTGCATGCGGTCCGGGTATTCAAGGCTCTGATTACGATAACTTTTTGACTAACATTCTCGCTCTTGCGTTTCCTTTCCTCTACTCTCCTCTCCCTCACCCAAAATATAATAAAACGATACAATGGCTGCCTCAATACCACGCACACGCTGTCTCGCAGCATTAAAAGCAGTCCCACGCTCGACAGCACCGCTGAGATCCTTTGCCACAACCTCCGATGCGCCACAGCCACCAGCCTCAGAAACTCCCTCAAAACGCTCCCGGCCCGCGACCTCGTTCAGCGATACTCTGAATGCTGGCCCTTCATTCGGCGACTTTGTAAACCCCAATGCGCCCCTCTCTCCCGCCGAAGCATACGAGATCAAGACCGTCCAAGTCGGCCCAGAGGGGCGCAAAAAGACAATCACACGACTACCCGAGTGGCTGCGAACACCAATCCCTTCCAACGCCAACCAAAACTACAAGCAGATCAAAAAGGACCTGCGAGGCCTCAACCTGGCCACAGTGTGCGAGGAGGCAAGATGTCCGAACATCTCTGATTGCTGGGGTGGCAGCTCAAAGAGTGCGGCAACAGCAACAATTATGCTCATGGGCGACACATGCACGCGTGGATGTCGCTTCTGCGCCGTGAAGACTTCCAAGGCACCGCCACCACTGGATCCACACGAGCCTGAGAACACAGCCGAAGCACTGCGGAGGTGGGGTCTGGGCTACGTCGTCATCACAGTCGTAGACCGTGATGACCTCGCAGACTCGGGCGCCCACCACATCGCCGAGACCATCATGAAGATCAAGCAAAAGAACCCCACTCAGCTCGTTGAGCTGCTAGGCGGAGACTACGGCGGCAACCTGGAAATGGCCAAGGTCGTTGCGAGAAGCGGGGTGGACGTTTTTGCGCACAACATTGAAACCACCGAGCGCCTTACACCCTTTGTGCGCGACCGAAGGGCAAAGTTCAGGCAGAGTCTGGATGTGCTGCGGTCAGCAAAGGAGGCTCAGCCAGAACTCATTACAAAGACAAGTATGATGTTGGGTCTGGGAGAAACAGACGAGGATGTCTGGCACGCCCTGCGAGGTATGTAACAAACTCCCATCAACTCAACCAAAAAGAAAAAGCCACATGAACTAACGTATCCAATTTAGAACTCCGTGCAAACGGCGTCGACGTCGTCACTTTCGGCCAATACATGCGTCCCACCAAGCGCCACCTCGCCGTCCACGAATACGTAACCCCCGACAAATTCGAACTTTGGCGCCAACGCGCCCTCGACATGGGCTTCCTCTACTGCGCTTCTGGGCCATTGGTCCGCTCAAGCTACAAGGCTGGCGAGGCGTTTATCGAGAATGTGCTCAAGAAGCGGAGATTGGGTGCTTCGGCTGAGACGAAAGTTGCGGACTTGAATACGCCTGAGGAAGCTGGCAAGGCACTGTAATGTTTGGGTGAAAAAAGAGTAGTTAGTTGTATTTTTTCTGTAGATTTAGGTATGTTGGGGGAGATATCCACGATTGCGTCAGGATCGCTTCAACTCGATGCTGCAACCTTTTTATGATCTGTACCATGTTCTTTATTTTTTCTCTAAAGCAGTGTGAGAAATCCAGTCAGAATACGACCCAGGGTACCAATACACATTCGTATATACTCATCAGTGTATCAAGAAGAAAAGTATAGTCAATTCATATATGTACGTAGCCGCTAGGCCGATGCGAAAATAAACAACCATGTATCCAGCATGCCAATGTATGTACCCATCCTCCCCTTTCCCATCTAGAGAAACCCCAGTGACCCAGACACCAATCTAAGCACCATGTAACCCCGCATATACAGTCTAAGCCCCATGTGCCCCCTCCCATCATATACAGTCCAAAACACTGATCGAAAACGACTGTGAAAGTAAAAGGAAAAGATCTAACGATTGACCGAACTCCATGCGAGTTCAACTCACACTCCAGGCATCCTCTCTGAGGAGAGACATCGCTCATTGCGCCTGCGCTGAGATCGGAGCAAAGAAAAAAGCTCCCAACCAAAGCCCGGTCTTAGTTATTGGGGAACTGGGCCCTCAAGTTATCATACTTGCTCGTAGGGTAGTTGAGCAAGTTGGTCGATTGCTCCAAGGCACTGATGCCTCCAATGTTGTTGACAAACTGCCCTCAAAGTCAGTACTTGAGAATTACCCATATGCAACAAAAGGCCTAGAGCCTTGAAAAAAAAACATACCGTAGATACCAAGCTCTCAGGTCCTGTCTTATCACTCGAGCTCTCCCACCACATGCCGCCACCAAGACCATTGTCACGGATAAGCTGCGTCTTATTGGCAATAACCTCAGGGGTATCATAACTAATCATGAACCTAGAGTTGGAATCATAGCTCCAACTGGCTGTGATTTGGCTGTCAGTGTAGATTTGGGCACCGGCCTGCGGCAGAGCCTTGTAGTCGTAGACGCCAGTTTCCCACGTGCCCTGTCCCACGCCCTGGTAGGGCTTGCCTGGGCCGTCAGTGTTAGCAAAGGAGCGGCCGTACAGAGGCATTCCGAGGACAATCTTGGAAGCTGGGACGCCGGCGGCTATGTAGTCATTGATAGCTTTGATGCTGCTGAATGGGGTGCTGTTTGAGTTGGTGATGGATGGTGCCCAGTTGGCGAGGTGTCCGGAGACGGTGTCCCACGATCCGGCATAGTCATAAGCCATCTAATCATGTCAGTTACGTTACTTCTCTTTGAAATAATCATTTACATACCAGATTCCAGAAGTCCAGGTACTGGTCCATCTGGGCGAGCTTCATAATGTTATAGTGCGTGGGGCCTGCAGGGGATGCGACGGTTAGAAGAAGGGGTTGGCCGTTGGCATTTGCGTTCGAGTAGGCTGTCAGTGCCTGGCGCGTTGCCTGTAGGAGGAGAACCATGTCATTTGCCTGGGACTCGTTTGCTGGGTATTCCCAATCAATATCGAGACCATCGAAACCAAGATTCGCCAAGAGTGCAACAGCGCTGCTGGCAAACGTTGCCCGTCCCTGCGCAGTTGATGCAGGTGTCACGAAATGAGATGAATAGGTCCATCCTCCAATTGACAAAAGCACCTTCAGGTTGCGGTTGCGCTTCTTCTGGAGGAACAACTGCTTCACGCATCCGTAGACGTTGTTTCCAACATCATTCCAAGAATCATTTGCGTAGTGCTTGTCAGTGTCGGCCCAGGAGTCGGTCATAAAGACCTCACCCGTATCTCGAACATCAGCAAATGCATACAGGACATGGGTCAACTCTTCAGCTGGAAGATCCTGTGGGTTGTAGTTGCGGCCATAGATAGCCTGCGGGGTTCATCAGTATGTAAATCTTCCGTTGTTATGCTGGGGGCAACGTACCCAGTTGACAAAGTAAGCGACATTCTTGTAGCCCGACGTCGCAGAGTTCATGACGTTCTGCTCAGCTTGTGGAATTGGGCTGGCTTGAACAAACGTGAGGGAATTGAATAGGGATGTCATTCCCAGAACCATGTTGGTGACGCGCATTATGATGTCGCTAGTGGCGCGCTACGCCGTGTTACGTGGCTGTGGCGGAGGCTAGTGCAGGTACGGATGTGGCTTCGGTTCAGGACCGCAGTTCGAGGAAAAGTGGAGGTATGGGTGGCCTTGTCGATGTGTTTCAAAAAAGCGTTCAACCCTCGGAACTTATACAAGAAAAAAAAGATATCGACTGACGGGCAAAAGGACACTACGGCCTAGTGAATGCGATAAGCAATGAAGAAGGTCAGTCGACCCTGCAAGGAACCAGAGATTGGTCAGAGGATACTACACAATCTCTCTAAAAGGAATGTGACAATGACAAGGTGGAAGAAGATGGTGCAGAGATAGTAGACTTCAGGATAGATGGGTTACATATCCTCGTCCACGCGCCGACGGTATTGCATCGGCAGGGTCGTGAAGCTAGTGTTCGCGCGTGGATATTTCGCAGGATGCATTAGTCCCAATCCTAAGAACATATCCGATGGCCCAAAGTGTAGGGAGAACGACGGATTAGGTTCAAACGGGTACAATCTGGAGACAGACGAGTGCAGGTACCTTGTCCACGGAGCAAGATATTAAGCGCCGAACGATCCTGCGCTTAAGACAGCTCACAGACATGATATAGCCGCCAATGGTTCTCTATTCTCAGTTGGTAGAAGATGATGTTGCTCTTCGTTGTTTCGAAAAACGTCGGCAAATCTTCTTAGTGTACAAGTCTCCCATCCACTGCACTAGCAGTGACATTGTGGGAAGCTAACGACGCCTTTCTTGAAGGAGTTACTGGAAGATCCACGGGGCCCCAAGAGCCCAAAGGCGGCAGCTTCCCGATGATGGATTTTCTGCATGGGTGCGTACGTGAAACCTCCTACAATCTTCACAGCTTCGGTGCCGTGGCGATGTGCAACGTCGAGATACGACATAGGACCAAGTTCAACAACGGCATCCAACTGGCTGCTACTCGCTTGCTCTGTAGGGGCAGCCTCACAGTCTCGATTGGCGGTGTGGTGAACCCTTGCCATCGGCACGCCCAAGTATGACCCTCCAGTTGAAAGTCATGTGAGATGATAAGACGTTGCGAAGCTTCGACTGGCTTGCTTCGTAAGGGCGGATGCTGTAGGAGCCAGGATGGATAGATGAGAAGGCGCGCCACAAGCACAGTAACAGGAATAGTCTAACTTGGTGCCAGACAGGGTATTTTGACCAGGGCTGGAGAAGGTGGAGATGGGGACCCACATGAGCGCATCTCCCGCGCGCGTGGATATGTCAAGCCGTCAGATCATCTGATCGCACCCACCGGGCACTGATACTGCGAAGCGACGCTTGCGCTCGACGGGAATAGCATGGAGGCTGATGAAGATTATGCAAGCGTATCGCGGAGATGAGCAGGTGGTTCGACAGTTAGGGCGGACGGTTAGCCACGTTTAGCCGCGATGCAGGGCGAGAGACGAGAGACGAGGGACCGAAGTAGAAGGAATTCCGGCCGAGATGCAGCAAGTTCACAACTCTCCACACTCCAGGCTCTATTAGCGCGTCAAGTGAGCCGCCCACTCAAGGAGGATGGAGGCACGCGATGCTGCTTTTTGAGATGCTTGCAGCGGAAGGAATGCCACGCTCTACGGCACGCACTGAGGAAACTTGGCCTTTGACGAGGTTTTGCTGGGTCGTGCGAGGCATGCGGAGATCTTGGCAGTTTGTTGCGGCTCGTGCTGTTGCACCCTACAGACAGATGGATAGTGGAAAATCAAGAGACGGGTGTGCGAGCAAGAGGGACAGTAGTACGTGACGACTTGTGTAACCCTCGGCCCGTGCACGCTCGGCTTCCATTCTGCCCCGTTACTCCTTTCCTACTGCAGTAACCGTTGTGTTACATCGCAGTAACTACTCCCTTAGCCTACAGTCTCTAGTATTATCTGTGTTGTGATACCAACCATGTGACTTGTCGGCTGAGTCAAAGATGCTCTTCCAATGATTGATGCCCAACCCTATCTCGCTATCGTGAATGTATACTGCTTGCTTGTGCTTTATGTCGAGCTTTGGTGTTTTTCATTCTGTATGTCTCTCGCTCACTGATATCGCACATGGTCGGTTACGTTGCATCGCGATGATATTCCGCTCCACTCTGTTATCTCTACTCTGTTGTCTGCTTCATCTGTCTGCATCGACCAGTCTAGACGGCGTGTATTCTGGTGAATGCTAGTGAAGCAGACATCACGATGTCGACTGGACAACTGATAAGAGACGTGTTCTGTCCAAGGACGCCATGGAAATGTCTGTGGGGTATTACGAGGACACCTGACTCCCTACACACCTGACTTCAGAGTGCTTCGGTTTTCGCGTAATCTCGCCTACTAGTACTGTACCCGATGTTGTGCAGCTCTTAGGCTACTTTTGCTCTGCCTAAGCCATCAGCCTTTGCATCAGGCTACCGATAGGTCCTATGGCTTTCTTGCCCAGCACTACATCTCGAGTACCGTCTCTTTTCCTACACACCGCTTTTTCGATCCGGCCATCCTTGGTGATACTCATTGCCACTGTCCGCCTGTCGGACCATGTGATGGTGATCTGTCTGACCGCAGCATCGGCCTCGATGTCCAGAACACGGGCAGCTCCATCCCCGTCTTCAGTTGCCTCAATATCAGAACTGGTGTCATCGTCGCTCACAAATGCGTTCAGGACGCTGCTGGTTGATGCAGTTGCCAAGTCCTCACTGTCCCGTCTTTGCTTGATGAGCCCTGCCTCTTTCCTCAACTTTCTTACAGCATCAACTCGCATGTTCCAGCTCACAAGCTCTTTCCGCAGTAGACGTCCGAAGCGTACCAGGTCCTGCTCTGGATCATGTTCCCCATCTTTCCCGCTTCCCGGTAGCCATTTGGCAGCCAACTGTTGGAGTGGTATGCATGGAGGAATGGTGTGCTTGTAGATGCTCAGAAGTTTCTTTCCTCCCTTGTCTCGGACGCTCAGCAGAACATGGTACGTCTCAATGAATTTCTCGGCGACAGAAACATCAATGCTAATGCCGAGGATGTTGCCGTCATTGGCTGCATGTGGGTCTGGATCTTTGACTCTGTAAGCAGTTACGCCAGCGCACGCACGATATACGTTTTCAAGATTGCGCTTTGATTGTTGCGTAATGATTTGCTGGGCATCGTCGGAGGATTTGCTGCGTTCGTTTCTGTTCTGAAGACGAGCTGCGAGATGGGGTTGCGACACCAAGACTGACGACAGGTTCGCGCGCTGGGCTCGTAGTGTTGCTAGGCGAGCGTGAAGGTCACCAATTTCGTCGTCAAGCTGTTCGACTGTCTCCATCTTGGGTTTGGGGTATCAATGTTGGATATACAGTACACGCCGTATGTGCAAGTGATGCGACGCTGTTCCACACGCGTCGACAGGTTCGGCGCGTTGGCACGTGAGTAGGTGTGGCTTGTGGCGTGGGTAGGGGTCGAGTGGCATGAACACCCCGGCTCGCCTAGTGCTGCACCGCCGTTCTTAAACTCTCATTGAGGACACGGTTGAAGCGTCAGACGCACCTCGGTTCCGTGGCGATCATTGTTGCATCTGCATCTCTTAGTGCTGCTGTTCATAAATCCCTCGCTCTTTTTGTTTGCTAGTCGCTCTCTACCCAGGAACACTTTCCAAGGATTTCATCTTCTCTTTCCTTCGTCCCAAACCCCTAGTCGCTGATCCCTGACATCACCCACCTTCCCACAGACAACCTGTATCACCAACACCTACTCCGAGATTCCCGCTATTTCCACCCGTCGATTCCAATCGGGTCAGCAACACACACACAAATGAGCAAACGAGGCTCGCGATCCAAGAATCGTGGCTCTGTACTCCGAGAACAAGGCTCGACCGACTCGCTCAAGGAAAAGAAGAACGGCGATGCGAACACAACCGCGACCATGAACGGCGTCATATTGGAACATCGGCGCAAGCACACTTCTATTGATAGCACTTCACCCTCGAGTCAGGCTGCGTCGCTGATGGGCAATCCCAACTTCTCGCTCGATGACGAAGTACCCAAGCCAGGAGAGGACGAGGGACCATCCAAGGGCTTTTTTGAACTTTCAAAGAAGGACCAGAGCAACTTCTTGTTGTTGGTTCTGCTGTACTTTCTCCAGGGTATACCCATGGGTCTGGCGCATGGCTCCGTACCGTTCCTCTTGAAGCACAGTGTCTCCTATGCGGCGATTGGTGTCTTTTCGCTTGCCGCGTACCCGTACTCATTGAAACTTCTCTGGAGTCCAATCGTAGATGCGGTCTGGTCACCTACCATTGGCCGTCGCAAGAGCTGGATCCTGCCGATTCAGACAATCTCTGGGTTTTCTATGATTTGGCTGGGCAAGAACATCAACCGCATGATGAAAGAGGCTGGCGAGACAGACAGCGGGGTGTGGAACTTCACATGGTGGTGGTTCGCGCTTGTGTTCCTGTGCGCCACCCAAGACATTGCCGTAGATGGTGGGTAACACTTCTGCACTTGAAGTGACAAGACTAACAATACCAGGCTGGGCACTTACTCTTCTCTCAAAGGAGAATCTCGCATACGCCTCTACTGCGCAAACCGTCGGCCTGACCGCAGGTCAATTCCTCTCGTATACTGTATTTCTGGCCTTTAACTCGAAGGATTTTGCGAACAGGTGGTTTCGCAGCACTCCCGCAGAAACGGGCATCATGGAGCTAGATGGCTACCTCAGCTTCTGGGGCTGGGCCTACCTGATTGTCACTTTCGGATTGGCAGTCATGAAGCGCGAAGACCGCGACAGGAACGGTGACGGCATTGGAGAGGTCTACCGCACCATGTGGGGTATCCTCAAGTTGAAGAACATTCAAAGCTTCATCATCATCCACCTCATCGCAAAGATTGGATTCCAAGCGAACGATGCTGTCACGAGTCTGAAGCTCTTAGATAAGGGTCTAAAGCAGGAGCAGTTGTCACTCGTCATCCTGGTCGACTTTCCCGTTGAGGTCTTCTTGGGCTACTACATTGGCAAATGGTGCCAGACGTACCCTCCAATGCACATTTGGTGCTGGTCGTTTGTTGGACGCCTGGTCGCTGCAGGTTTCGCGCAGTTTGTTGTGTCGATTTTCCCAGCCGGAGGTGCATCGAATGGATTCCTCCTGCTTGTCATTGCGGAGCATGTGCTCTCGACTTTTATGAATACAGTCATGTTTGTTGCCGTTAGCGCCTTCCACGCTAAGATTTCTGATCCGTTGATCGGCGGTACGTATATGACTCTTCTCGCCACGTAAGTTCAGCTCGCCTCATCACACCACCTGGATTTGTAATTGACTTGAAGTGCAGTGTCTCGAACCTTGGTGGAACGTTTCCACGCTACTTTGTTCTCAAGGCAGTGGACATGTTCACGTCGGCGACTTGCATGCCGCCTACTGGTGGGCTCAAGGCTGGCCTGAAAGGACCCCTCGTCACGCAGCCTTTCTCATGCGCCATTGAAGCCGAAAAGCATCGGTGCATAGAAGGAGGAGGCGTGTGCAACGTCACGACGGATGGATACTACATTGTCAACATGCTATGTATTCTGATTGGAGTATTGACTTTCTGGGGATATATCAAGCCCGCGGTGATGAGGATACAGGCGCTGCCTTTGCGCGCATGGAGAATTGCTGGGTAAAGGGACACATGTAGTATGCAGTATCCAAGGCATAGAGTTAGAAGGTGTAGTGAAATGGATGCACCCTGCAAGATTGCTGGACGTGGCTCCTTGGCTGCGACCGTCAATGCCGGTGTGCTGCAGTGCAGTGTGAGGCTGAAAAGTTTAAATTCAATGTACTTGAGACGATGGCGAGTTTCCAAGACGCTTGCGCACGTTTGTCCCGCGCTCGCGCGCTCTCCCGTGACCAGGCGTGTGAGGGTAGCCAATAGTTCGAGACCTGATGCAACTGACAAAGACGCAACTGACAAAATACGCCGAAGATGCCGAAGAACTAGAACCGCGGCACAGCATTTTGGCATTCCTGGGATTTCTGACATGTCAGGCCATGTGCGTTTGCAGCCGGTCGGCATTGGTGTGGCAAAAACCCTTAAAGAGAGCCCTGTACCTGCGCGCATTCTGATAACACCAGCACATTTCCAATCACGACATCCACCAAAGCACCTACAAGCCAAACAGGGCCCCCAGCAAACGGTGACGCTTAGCTGAGTACGGTTAGTCGCTTGGACCACGCGTTTTGACATGTGTCGCAAGCAGCTTGCTAGACTTAAATTTCTCTTTGGCCTTTCTTCCCTCGATTCTTATTCGCCTACAGCCATACCGCAGTCTACTACTTAAGTATCGGCTCAGATTCCCCTAACCTGAATCCGACTATAGGCCCCGATTCTACCTCATCACCGACCGCCAGTTGCGCTTTTAAAAAGTCGAGTCCATTCCACGTCGATTGCGCCGGCTTGGACACACAGTATCGCCCCTAATACTACCTAGACTTTTTCTCTCGCGTTGCGCGCCGTCCTTTTAGTACACAACTCAGCCAGAAACAATGGCCTACTCAGCATACCAGCCCAAGGCACGGGTACAAAAGCCTGCGCCTCACTTCACCGGCACTGCTGTTGTCGATGGTACATTTGAAGGTACATTGGTATAACCCTTGGCAAGACAAGGCGACATATACTAACTGGCTCTCTCCAGAACTCAGCTTAACTGCCTACACATCCACCAAGCAATGGCTGGTCCTTGGCTTCGTCCCCATGGCCTGGACCTTTGTCTGCCCAACCGAGATTCTTGCGTTTAGTGATCGCGCCGCCGATTTCGCCGCCCGCGGTGCTAGTGTCGTCTTCTCCAGCACAGACAGCGAGTACAGCTTACTTGCATGGACCAACGCAAGCAAGAGAGACGGAGGGCTCGGCAAGATCAACATCCCCCTGCTTAGCGACAAGAACCACAGCATTGCGAAGGACTATGGTGTCTTGATTGAGGAGGAGGGCATTGCGCTCCGTGGACTCTTCTTGATCGACCCCAATGGCATTGTGCGACAGATCACCATCAACGATCTTCCTGTTGGACGTTCAGTAGACGAGACGCTCCGTCTGATTGATGCTTTCCAGTTCACAGACAAGTACGGCGAGGTACGTATGCCTGCTATAGGGTCTTCCAACCCATTGAATGCTGACTTTGGTTCCCTAGGTCTGCCCCGCAAACTGGAACCCTGGTGATGAGACCATCAAGGCGACCCCCGAAGGCAACAAGGAATATCTTGCCAAGGTCCACGTCGACACCAAGATGTCGGATGTTGCGGCCAAGACAAATGGTATGTCCACGTCGGGCTGGACATAGTCGCGTGTCGGAGAATTTTGCGATTGCAATGTGCTGATATCTTGTCTTGCAGGTACTTCTTGAGTTAGATTGTTTGAGCCTGCCGAATCATGTCATGTTAGCATCTCGATGTATCGAGGCTGTCTGCATTGATTGGCGTTGCTTTGGCATTTGTAATTTGTTTTCGGCCCTACAGCTTCACCATGCTGTCTTAGCGATCAACATTCCCCTCTATAGACTGTAGAAATTCTGAGTTATATAATCACCGCGCCTGTTAGTCCTGCACGCCAAGTAAAATGGTGTTCCAGGCACAGCGGTATGATGCAAGTGTGCTATACGAACATGCGGTCCAAAGGTTCGGTGTGGATTTAATCAAGCAGTGCATATTGTGAGACAAAGTGTCCAATCATCAATGCAAACACGTTGCATGTAAATACCGTGTATGGAATGCATGCGTTAGCGCTCGCTTGGCACACGGCTTTGCGCGAACGCCTTCGGTCTACCCCTTTCGATAAGGTCCACGAGCGACTCTCCAATCATGGAGCCGCGACTAAATGCATTACTAGACCTCTCCAGCCCAGGCGGCATGCCGTACGCGACAAATGCACCCGACGTTACTACACCCAGCTCGCATAGGCCACCGCACCAAGCCGATTCTACTTTTGTGCGGCCCAAAGCGCTGATGCTGGCGAACTCATCGTCGCCAGACAACACCCAGGCCACCGATTTCCGAAAAGAAGTGCATGACAAGATACACCCAACACGAGCAATGCCTAGTGCTCCCATAGCACAGGTACTCAACAATGAGGCCAATCTGCTTTCTTCACAATCTGTTCCCAATACTTTTGCTCCCTCTACGACTCCATTCAGCGGCCGACTAGTGGATCTCCTACTGGAGAGTCCCGAGCATACAAAGCAACGATGGGACCAAGACCAGCAATTCTTGCAGCCCGATAGTACGGGATACAGTCCCTCTGTAATCAAGCTTCCAAGACTTCCACAGCCTCCCAAGAAGACGGCAAAACGGCCTAGGATACCGCCGCTATTACAGGGCTTACATCAGCCTCCACCTTTGCCACCAGAGGGCAGATTGTTCCCGCCAATCACTGGGGAAAAGAATGCATTTGCTGGTGAAAGAGGATACGATTCCTTGTTTGAAGAATCAAGAGGTAAAGATGTGGATGACCATGCTTTTCTTGAAAATAGCGCACAGGAACTCGCTAGGAGTGCTCAACATGGCGAGTATGGGTCAAATAGTCAGGTGACGGTACAGAATGTCCCGCTGAGTGGGATACCTACTGTGCAAGAGGCCAAGACACAGTCGAACCAAGAAATAAGTCCTCCTAGTCAAGTCCAGATTAAGCGTGGAAAGAAGCGAACCAAGTGGTCAGAGCAAGAGACCAAGGATCTGCTTATAGGCGTGAGCAGATTTGGTATTGGAAGCTGGAAAAAGATACTGCAAAGCCCAGACTTTTCGTTCAACAACCGCACTGCTGTTGACCTGAAAGACCGGTTTCGCGTCTGCTGTCCTGGTGAAGGTTTAAAACCCAGGCAACCAAGGGCCAACATCCAGGAAAAGCACTCGGTAGACGCTGTACATACCCACCCTGACGGTCACGGTAAGAGTGCAGAACAAGTGGACAAAACAAACAACTCTGCCCCTACGTCCTCAGCCTCTACAGTAGCTACACGTACAACCAAAGCTACCACTACAATGCCCAACCTTTCCGAGCTGGGCATCCGCGAGCCCTTTTCCAAAACCGCCCGCCGCCCGCGACGCCCCTTTACAGCAGCCGATGACGTGAACCTTCTCAAAGGATTCGAAAAATACGGCCCAGTCTGGCACTCCATGCGCGACGACCCAGAGCTCGAATTTGGATCACGGCACGCAACAGACCTACGCGACCGATTCCGCATCCGCTACCCAGAACGCTACGCAAGAGCAGGCTACAAGCTCAAAAGCAAAGATAGAGAGCGAGAAAGAGTGCGAAGAGGCATAGATATGGAAACCGACGCCACGTCAGCAGGAGAACCGCCGACATCTCTCACTGCATCAAAAGACAAAAACTCCGACGATCCAAACACCATTGCTCTATCTAAACCCTCAGCCACAGCACCGTTATCCTACCCATACACCAGCAGCATGCCCCTTACCTTTTCTCAGCCCCCACTCTCGTCCTCCCACTTCCAATACACAACTGCAACCAATGGCCCCTCCCTCAAACCCTTCACAACATCCTCCTCCTACCTCGCCGACCCCTTACCCACGCTCTCCTTCTCCGACGAAGAAGACATGACAGACGACATGGCGCATAACGCGCATTCGGGCAGCGGCGACCAAAGCCCCGTGACGCTGAGTCGCAATATTCTGCGCTGGGCAGATGCGAATCCCTCGTCTTTGTATTCGTTTGTGCCGGGGCCGGGGGCCTTGTATAGGGCTGCTAGCGCAAGCGGTGGTGCGAGTGGAGGGGAGAGGATACTGGGGTTTGGACTGAGTGAAGGGGTAGGTGGGAGTGGAAGTGGTGCTACTGCTTTGGCTGGTGGACCACAGGCGCAACAGCAGCAGCAGCAACAGCAACAGCAACAGCAACAGCAACAGCAAGGCGATGGGATGATGAGAAACAGCATCCTTCCCGAAGCAGACAACTGGTCTTTTGCAGATCGAACGGCGAGTTTGGCGTCGTTCAAGTATCGAGGTTGATGAAACAAAAAAAACATGATGAGTTCACGGGTTCAAGAATGTAATAGGTAAACGAAAGAGAAACGGGTATATATGACTTGAAATTGCATCTTTATTCATTATCTTCATACCACCTTCCTGTTCCTGGATTACCTAGCACTCTGGCACACGGCTAGACAAAACTGTCTAAAATCGCCTCGGGTCGCTTCTTCAAGGTCTTCTTCAACCATGCGTCCGTATTTCTCTTCGTACTCGTTCATCACGCGCATGAGATGCATGCGATCCCAGTGGAAGCGCACAAGGCGCGATATGAGCAGCTCGACGCGCTGCTGGCGGTCGTGTTTGCTGGATGTGGAGGAAATGCGGCTGCCGGAGGAGCGGCCGTCAGCAGGGGGTTCGATGAGGTCGATGAGGGCGTGGTGGAGGAGCATGGCGTCTCGTGCGGGTCGATTGACTGGGGAAGTTAGTATATATATGTTCATTTTTGAAATAGCAGTGGCAAAAAAGGAGGGGATGACTTACTAACGCCGTTGAGAATATGTGCAATGACTTCACCAACGAGATTGTTACTCTTCTGCAGCGCGTCTCTGGCAAAGTTCCCTTGGTACTTTCTCTCGTACGTTCGTAGCACCTCGCGCAGATGCGCGTCGCTACGCATGACAACGATGCTTAGCATGACGCTTTCGCCGCCTTCTCTGGCGTTAATGGCTTTCCACAGTGTATCGACGTCGCGGTTGCGATACTCGGCTGGCCATACATCGCTTTCTTCCTGCCGTGTGGCGTCCAGCGCCATCAAGATGGCCTTGCGGAACTTGTCTGCCTTGAGCTCCTTGTCCATGCAGCGTGTAAGTGAGTCGCCGTATCGTTTGTCCTTGAACGCGTCTTTGATCTCGCGAACCTCGTGATTTTGGCGGCCCATAAGGGCTTCGATGAGAAGTTCACGGCGCGCAGAGTTAGACTGGTACCAGTAGTTGGCCCAGTAGCCCTCACTCTCGTACTTTCCAAGAGCAGTCACGTAGGCAATCTTGCCAAAGTTGCCGCTCATCTTCAGCTTGATATGCTTGGCAACGTTGATTCCCCTGCCCTGGACCTTGCAATGCCGCTTGTACTCAGCTCTCAGCTCAAGCATCTGATCGTGCGAAAGTATAGGGATAATGTCAATAATGGTATCCACGTTGGGTGTTCGTCCAGCCATGGCATTGACAAGCGCAAGAGCATCATCAGTAGCATCATATATCCTAACCCGGCGCTTGTCCTTGTCCTTCTCTTGGTAACGGTCGCCAGAGCCATACGCCGCTAGAGCCAGTTTGTCAACATGTTTGGAAGGCCGCGACCGGCTTGGAGATCGACGCGAGGATGAAGGAGCGCGGCTGCGGCTGCGGCCGTGCTTGGAACGGCGAGAATCTCGGGGTTCGAGACTGTCGAGCGGTTGCAGGTCGTCGAGGTCGTCGTCCAGCATCAGCGCCTGTGGCATAGGGCTGATTGACTGATAAGTACCATGGTAGGCTTCAAGAAGAGGACTTGGTGGTGGAAGTGCACCTGGATACCCGCCAGGCAGGCCTCCCGGAACAATCGTCTGCAAGTCAGGCCTGTTGCCACTCACAGACAGCCTATCCATGCGCAATCCCTCGGGTTTACCCGGTGCACCAAGGTGGCCCTGCGGGCGCATTTCCACGACATTTCGACCCTCAGTCGGACTCACGACTCCAGAGTACGAAGACGCACGGTGGTGCTCGGAGCGCGGCGAGTGACGACCCATTGGAGGAGGTGGGAAGGCTTGCCCATTAGCTGAAGGCGGAGCAGGAGCTTGTGGCATAGTCGTGTATTGGGGCTGTGAGGCTGGTGCCTGCGAGGTCATTGTGTACTGAGGTTGCGACGGAGGAGCTTGCGGCCTAGTCGTATACTGAGCGGTTGGCGACGCGACATTGGGCACAGCTGTATACTGGGGCTGCGGCTGCGTAGGGTATACGGGCTGTGAGTTGTGTCGCACATGGGGCGGCTTGGAATCTGCTACTGGCTTCGCAGTGTAGGTGATGGTTGGCGGAGGATTCGCATACTGAAAAGAGCCGTCTCTCCCTGTCGTGCTCGATGTCCTGCTGTGGCCAGAGGCCGGGGCGGCCGTGTATGAGAGGTTGTTGGCGGTGGACGCATACTTGACATTGCTTGCACTGGCATACGTAATGTTGGCAGCCGGGGGAGCTGCAGTTGCAGGATGCGCGAATGAGGCGGCGTGGGGTGCATAGCCGGGGCGTTCGTGGGGAGGAAGGTCACTGTAGTTGCCCATGGTAATGGGCTCGCTGTGTGATCTGGTCGCCATATCTCAGCTGGGTTGTCTTGGGCGAGGTTTGCTGGACACATGCTCCCAGCAGTCAGGAGTCGCTCTACTCACGTCGCATATTGCTGATCTGGCTGCCTGATCTCATACTGCGGGGTCGAGGCTCCGTCAGCTGGCCCATATCGCTGAGGCTCTGGTGCATGGCTATGGCTGCGGCTGCGCGAATGGTCGCGTTCTCGACCGCGCCCCGGCGATTTGGAGCGCGAGCGCTTGGAGCCACTGTCGGGTCGTAGAGACATTGTGTTGTTGCTTCTGTTCGCTTCGCTGCCGATTGTGGCAAACTATCAATTCATATGTAAATGTGGTCGAGAGTTAGGCGCTGGGTGCCATAGTAAGTTGCGCGTCAATGCCAAAAATGCGATGGCGGGAAGCTGCCATACTACTACTACCGTTGTGGCCCCCATTGAGTCTGGCGCTTGCATGGTGTGGATTTGGGGGCCAGGCTGAACTTCGGACACACTTCTTCCTGGGTACAGAGGCATAACGAACCATCATCTGTAGCGTCGAGTATTGCACATCAACATGCTGCAACGTCAGATGTCTGGAGTTTGAGCGGGAGCTGTCAGATTCCATGTCTAGTCGCGGGGAAACGTTCGCCGAATCCAACAGCAGCCCGCCCTGCTTTCCTTACAACGATTCCATCATGCGTCATAGCGTCGGGCAGTGGTAAGGAAAATTTAAACAAAACTGATAACAACAAGACAGTTTCTGTTGAGTTGCTCCGACATGCGCCGAACCCAGCACAACTATGATTGAAGACGTGGGTCTCAACTCACCGCTTCAGCTACCCATTTCGCCATCACTCGGTGCAAGCTGGCGCACGTTCGCTACACCATTTCTACAACCTAGTAATAGCTGGCTCTATCGATGCGCTAATTGGTGCTTTTCCGTGATAGTGGTGAAAGGGCCCTTCGGCGAAACGCCACGCTGACTAGAAGTTTGGTCCTAGCTGCTGCTGACAGGCGTTCTATCAGTTCAGTTAAAGGTGAAGTGATATCGCTGCCAAAACATGGCACCCCCCTCTGCGTCCTATTACCACACATACCATGGCTACCATTGCGTCCCCGGAAAACCTCCAGCCCCAGTCGGCCCTCGTTCAACTGCCGTCTGAAATCAAGCACATCATTTTCAGCCTTTGCCTCGTCAGCGATACTCCAATTTCCGACCCGCGGATTGTTTGCTATGGCAAGGAACGGCGAGAAGAACCAGTCGACACTGGCCTCTCGAGGGTTTCTCTCCTTCAAACATGCCGCAGGATATATCATGAAATCGATCGTCGACCACTGTTTGCGCAGAACACCTTCCGTTTCTCAAGTCTCGATACGATGCAGACATTCCTTCAAGCACTGCCGTCCAGTCATAGCGAATTCATCCAAGACATTGAGATCGATTTGCGGAAACTAAACTCTGATCACCCCCATCTCACCCAGGAGTGGTTGCAGTATCTAGCGTGGACTCGAGACAACCGCAAACCGTCCCTGCGTGTGGACACAGGCGGCTTAAAGTGTCTCCGAATCAACCTCGAGGCGTGGCCTGTAATTCCAATGTACCGATGCGAGCTTTGGAATGTCCTTCGAAATGTTCTGCGTGGGTTTGCAGATGTTGAGAGAATCATTGTCACCGGAACAAGCAGAGGTAAAACGATGGCTCAGAAGGCACCGTGGTCGCCAGTCCATTTTGTAGGCGGCGACAATGTAGGCTCGGATGACCTGATATCTCGAATGAGCAACTGCGTGGTGGCGAGACTCGGTGAACACAAGGTGATCAAATGGCTGAGGAAGGACAACAAGCTTCAATTGGAAGTCTCCGCGATAGCTCCTGCAAGCGAGAGTATAGGTGCACGGCTGACTGGGTCCGATACTTGGCCGCTGAACGGAGCTTGTACTGTTTCTACTTACGAGCAATACCGCCTTGGCAATAATAGTCCAGAGCTCAATCCCAGTGTCGACGGATAATAGGCCTAGCGGGATCCCAAGGGCCATGAATCTCGTTCTTGTACTTTTGTAGACCGATCAACCACCAGCTACAGACTCCCATGCTGAGGAATGTGAGAATCCCCCCTAGGATGGCGCCGGCTATAAATGTGGCGCGGCCGTTCCCTGTCAGAGTAACAAAAAGACTGCCCCATGCGCATGTTACCAGGGCCATGGTCAGCGTGAGATGGCCCCATGGTGACCTAGCACGTAGCTGGCGCCGGAATATTGGGAAGAGACCGAATACCTCAATGGAGAATAGAGTCAACGAGAAGACATGAGTGGTGGATGGCAAACGCGAAGCAAGCACCGCCGATGCCATCATCGCTGAGTTTGTGGATATCGAAGCTGGTAGTCTAGAAGGTGCAAATTAGCTGTTGAAATGGTGGACTGATGTGTTGTTCATACTGCGCATCTGTACCCGCGCTGTAATCAAAGAATGCAACGTTCATCATCAGTAGCCATGCGCTTATGGCCCATATTGAATCACTCGTGGTAGAGCGAGTGAGCGACTTGAGAATCGGGCTGAGCCCAAGCAAAGCCGCATAGATGAGTATGGCGGATTTAGCAGTTGCCAGACGCTGCTTGGCTCTGGGCGAAAGGGCTTGTGAGGCTTGTGGCACGACCTCGTCTGTCTCCGACGTAGGCGTCAAAGGCACATTGGCAACCGTCTTGAACTCCTGGCCCATCCAGTGATCCCACAAGACCCAGGCCAGTACTGTGCACATACTGGCCCATCCGACTACTGCAACAGGCGACACTCTACCGTGAATGATGGCTATGAAGCAGCAGCAAAAGATAATTACCGAAGCAAGATGCTGCACAATGACGGTTGCATCGGACATGAGCGACCAGAACTCATAGGGCTGCAGCCTAGGGTTTCGCTGCAAGTGGTCAAGGAACGTGGCCTCATCCGTGTAATTGTCGGGAACTGTACATGTGAGAAGAGGTATACTGCTGCAGGCTGCCGCGACTCACAGGGTTGCTTGAACCACAGAAGCTTCTTGTAGTGGCCCTTTGGTTGGCGACTTGACATGCGCGACCCGCCCTTCCTCTTCCTTGCAGGCCCTGCAAACGACGCGCCTGTTGGGTCCAGCAGCCTGTTTGCACTCATGTCATGGAACGGGAACTTGACTAACACGACCATGAGTGTGGTTGGGGAACCACTGGAAAGGATGAATTGTCATAATAGTCAATGACACAACGCTAGACCAAACGAGGCATGGCTATCTCCGAGGCTAACCCCACAAGCTGAGCGCACCTCACCCAACATATCATTTCCGATTAAGTGTCGTCCAAGCGACAATGATCCTCCTCAACTTGGGCACAGTAGCACGCCCAGCCTTTACTTTGTAATTTTCCTGACCCAAGACCCGTCCGATTTCCATGTAACTCTCCACTGCGACCCGAATGGGTCCTCTGGCGTCAATGGGCAGACGCTCGATGGCGTCCTTGGCCGTCTCATAGAGCGAAAACGCATCCTTCAAAAGCCGTTTGCGGAGTGTCTCGACCTGCGCTTGATTTGGCCTCTTCAGCACATCCTCATAGCTCAGTCCCACATCAGCAAGCCATTTTAGAGGAAGATATACACGGTCAATCTTGGCGTCTACTTCAATGTCTCGCGAGATGTTGACATATTGTAATGCCACACCCATGTTGTTACCAGCAGCGATAATGGCACGCTGCTCCTCGGCGGATAGAGTGCTAGGATACCAGTAGAAGATGAGCTCAATACACATCTGTGCGACAGTGCCTGCGACTCGCTCCGCGTACAACTGCAGGTCCTCGGTGGTTTCTATGAGCGGCGCTTTGTCGAAACCAAGGTCCATCTCAAATCCTCGGAGAAGATCCTCCAGTGGCTGATGCGAGAGCTTGGATGTGGGGAGTTGAAGGAGCGCAGACTGCGTGTCAAGTGGGAAGTCAGCGCATATTTGGGCATGCACAGCAGTACGTGCAACTTTGTCGTTGTACACATTGTTCAGAAACTTGCGTAGTTTCGCTATCCACACCTTGGCTTCCTCGGCGTCAGAAGCGTTGTCCACCAAGTCATCAGCTACGCGGCAGAAGGAGTAGAGTAGGAGCAGATCCGCCCGCAAAGGTCCAGGGAACGTCGCGGATGCAAGGTAAAAACTGCGACTCTTGCGCTTCAGACGACGCACAGCCTCATCAAGACCCTGAAGCCGCTCAGCGTCGTACTTGGAACTGGGCGTAAGAAGGGCGCGCATCAAGAGAAGTGGCGATGGCAGCAGTGAGGGGTCCGTGAACAGCCCTGGGAAGGTGTACAGCACGGCTAGAGCATTGTCAAACGCCAATTGACCACACACTATCAGCGCATTAGTGACAAAGAAGAACAGAGCCTCCTCTATTTCCAAGCCATCCCACAAGTGTGCACCGTACTTTGTCCCCACATTTATTACCCAGGTGCCTCTACGAAGTGCCAACGTGTCGACGATCCAGAGATAAAAGGTCGGGAGGAGGATTGGTAGCGCCGTGTTGGTCAATGGCAGCGCCAGAATGAACTGGTATGCAAGACTCCTGCTTGGGATTAGTGCCAGATCAAGAGCCCGCTAGGATCGGCATACCATAGTAGCAGAAGAAAAGGGCCTGCCCAAATCAAGATGAGACCAGTATATGTCCCGTCACCGCCGTTCCAAACGCACTGCCATCCCCATGCAATCATGCCCAGCAAGAACAATTGGCCGGTAAGCTTTGCGAATCGCCATGGATTCCGGGATGCACCCGATTCGATCCGCAGATATACAGGCTGGAAAGTGGGTCTGCTGAGGAGCAGATAGAGCAATGAGGTGTTGTATGTCTGCACGACAAAGAAGAAAACCTCCTCCAGTGGAATATCATATAGTTTTGGACCGATGATGACATGGCCGGGGTAGCTCCATATGCCGGTGCGGATCAGGTACGAGTCCCATGGTATAGTCGACGTGACAGCGACCTGAGCTGTTAGCACATGCGTGGTGGGGGTGCGCCTGGGACGGCGATTGTACATACGAATATCAGATAAAAGACCTTGTACGCGTCGAGCTTGGTGAAGAAGGGGCGGTAGAGCCAGGTGAGCAGCACGGCCGGAGGGATCGTGTACTTGAGATGACTAGCCGTGACTGTCAGCCATGTTGTTTGCATCTCGCAACTTGAGGGCGCAGCACATACACCAGCGCGTAGTCAAAGCCCATGATGAAACCGTGGAGCAGGAAGAGACGGCCAGCAAAAGGCACAGTTGGCGTCACTCGTGGACCCAATGCAAGGGAACAGTCTAGGTGTGAGCCGCAGCGGACATGCGGCAGACACTGGATGTTGCAGAGGCTCCATAGCGCCAAATCGCGAATTCCATGCCGCCCCCAAAAGTCAACGGCCGGCAGTGCAGGAAGCACGTGGTCCAAACCGGGTTAGCCTCGTGTGCAAGCTTCAACATGACATCACCATCGACCACCCGCCATCTCTTCAACAGCACCGGTTTTCCCACCTGCCAACCCGCAAATCCCGGCGCTGACAGGTACTTGCATCATGCTACCCACACACGCCCCTCACTCCACCCCGCTGCCCAGCCAGGGGTTGTTTCTGCTTCCGCGGCGTGACATGCCAGACATGTGAATGTCCGCCCTGCTGTATACAAGGACGTTGACCAGCGACTCTGCTCTGCACAAACCCCACCACGCAGCCGTCCGATGCCGCCAAGATAATCACTATTGCCATGTCCAAGTCTGGACCGCCCAACAAGCCCGCCAAACGACATCCGTACGTAGGCCTCATCGCGCCAGGCTGCTACAGCTCTGTCTAACCTCGTGCCAGGTACCTGTCCGGCAACTTTGCGCCTGTCACCAAATCATGGCCACCCACGCCCGTCTCGTGGACGGGAAGCATTCCGGAAGAACTGCTCGGGGGAATGTACGTCCGCAATGGCGGAAACCCTGTGACCAATGCCGACCTGGGGCGTGAGGCGCATTGGTTCGACGGCGATGGTATGCTCTCGGGCGTCTGGTTCAGTCGTTCGCCAGTGGACCCGACCAAGCCCATTGTCAACTTTGTCAACCAGTTCATCCTCACCGACGTCTACCTCACCGCTGTCCAGAACCCAGCACTACGTACGCCGATATTGCCGAGTATTGCGACCCTGGTCAACCCCGCATCCAGCCTTTTGTGGATTCTCTGGCGGATATTCCGCACTGTCCTTGTTGTAATATGGACCCATATCTCTGGGTCAGCCAGCGCCATCAAGCGAATCAGTGTTGCAAACACGAGCATACTGTACCATGACGGACGTGCTCTGGCAACCTGCGAGAGCGGGCCACCAATACGCATCACGTTACCAGGTCTGGAGACTGTGGGCTGGTTCAATGGAAATACCGCTGAGGGCGAACCCGCCTTGGAAGATGACAGCCACCAAAATTGTAAAGAGAAGCAGGAAGCGTTTGGAAGCACGGGCTTGCTCAGCTGGATGAGAGAATGGACTACTGGCCACCCAAAGGTGGACAAAGTGACAGACGAGTTGGTTCTCTTTCACTGCAACTTTGTGGCGCCTTACGTGCACTACTCATTGCTTCCGGCAGAGGCCTCGTCTTCATACCAGACTGGGTCCAAAGCGAAAGCTATTGTCAACGCCCCAGTCCCCGGGTGCTCCGGAGGACGGCTCATGCATGACTTTGGGGTTGCGAGACATCACACTGTTATTCTCGATGTGCCGCTCTCTTTAACTCCCCTCAATCTGGCAAAGAATAAGCCCGTCGTCGTGTATGAACCGGAGAAGCCGGCTCGATTCGGCGTGTTTCCTCGTCGACATCCCGAATTGGTTCGTTGGTTCGAAACAGAAGGATGTTGTATTCTCCATACAGCCAATACGTGGGATGAGTATGACAGCAACAACGAGGTGGCAGCTGTCAACATGCTTGCTTGTCGCTTGACTTCGGCATCTTTGGTCTTTAGTGCCGGTAACATCGAACCGCCACCACATCCAAAACACAAGGACAAATCAAAAAACAAGCCAATGTCTTTCTTTGCAAAGTACAATGACGATGAAGATGACAAAGATCCTGAAAAGTCTTTCGTCGAAGAATCAACTCCTTTGCTAGGGCCAGATGCATCAATGTTTGGCCCAGGTTCTTCATCAATGGCCTCGAATATACCTATTTCCTACGACGACGAAGAGCAGTGCCGCCTATACTATTACCGCTTCTCGCTGGAGTCTGGCTCCAAGAACACGATTACCCACCAATTTGCACTATCAGCAATCCCGTTTGAGTTCCCTACAGTATCGCCAGCCACCGAGATGGTACGCGCACGCTACGTGTATGGTTGTAGCACGTCGGACGAGTCATTCGGAGCTGCTTTGGGCAAGGCTACGAAGATTGATGTGTTGGTGAGAATGGACGTCCAAGGTCTCCTCGCCCGCGCGCAGCATACCGCCCCGGAACCGATTATCGGATGTGTAGACAATCGATCAATCGACGAGATTCTCGCATCAGCCGATCCCAAAGACCCGATCAAAGCATTTCGACTGCCCCCGCAACACTTTGGCCAAGAAGCCAAGTTTGTACCCCGCAAGGCATCGAAAAAGGCCGTTGCCGATGACTCAGACTCGGATGAATTGGACGGATACCTCCTCTTCTATGTGTTTAATGAAGATCAGCTGGACGAAGAGGGCGAGTGCAGGCCAGAGGCCATCAGCGAACTATGGGTCTTGGATGCCCGGGACATGCAGACGGTTGTTTGCAAGGTTCAGCTTGGCACGAGGGTACCGTATGGTCTGCACGGCAACTGGTTTACCGAAGAAGACATTGCAAAGCAGCGGCAAGTTGAAAAGCTCAGGTGCGAGACAGAAATGGGTTGTGATACCCGATGGAGTCACTTGCAGAAGGCTCTTGTTAGTTATCTTGGCTAGTCAGGCGAGGGAGTGAGTTTATTTGAGTGCTCCGGCATTCATATGTACATAGGTTCGAGAGAGGTGCGCGACTAGCAGCACCAGCCTACTGGTTGCGAGCATCCCAAGCTAATGTCTAATTACATCTTGGTCAATGGATTGTTTGCATTGAATGTGTGTAGTGTCGTTGCAAAGTGTGGCGTAGCAGATTGTACTACATGTACATGCACACGGCGTTTCTGATCGATCGTGGGAAGACATGTGCAGGGCTGAGGTGGCACATGGCCAGTAACATCAGCCTTGCATGGCAGTTGTGCATGCATGTATGCCTCTGACAGGCCAGGCCAGGCCAGGCCAGCCTGTCGATCTCCCGGCGGGAATAGCAGCCAGGCCAATCTAGTCCCGCTGGTTCAGCTCAGGCTGGGCGTGGTGGTTGAGATGAGCGAGATGGGCGGGACGAATCGATGCAGGTGACGCAAATCGCATCTCAGAGTGACCAAGGGATATGCGTCTGGCCGACGTCGATGTTAAAGTAAGCTCGTGAGATCAGCACTATAAAGCTTAAAAACGGGTGGCGTGACGGTGGAAAGTGGGGTTGGCGCGATGCGGAAGCGTCGGACACCAGCAGTCATACCACGACGTTGATCGCCCTCAGTATGACCGAACATCACGCCGCTCCGGCCATTCAAGCTGCTCTCCGCGGGCCATCAAGCCCACGGCCAGGTCGTCGAAACACTCGCAGCTCTCGCCCATCGCCCATGTCTTGCTCACCCCTCGAGGTCACCGCGACGTTGATCTCTGCACCCACGCACGGCACAATGGCCAGCGAGCCACTCAACCCATGGCCATCAAAGCGGGGGACGCTACAGCCAAGTCTCCATAGAAATTCCCGCAGTTGGCGAGGTCGCCCAGCGTCGCAGCTTTCTGCCGTCCCCGCCCTGCTGCCCCGTTAGTCAGCCCTGCCATTGGAGGAGCACTGACGTGAAGGTGTGATGCCACCAGTTCTAGGTGCTGCAATGTCGTCATGGATAACGAAGAAAAAAACGTCTGCAGATCGCAGCAATGACGGACTGACGGCATAGCGGGATCATGGCATGGCACACATGGCCGGACATGGCCAGGAAACAAGAGATATAGTTCGACGGTCGCGCCTGGCGAAGGGATTGCTTGATCATCCTTCAGAGTTCAACAAAGTCTCTTGGTATCAGAACTAAATACTAGAAAAAAGGCGATTGCAAAAAGGTGGCTCTTGTGCAACTGCGACACTACAACCTTTTTTTCCACAATGGAGCTTGAACGCAGAAACGATGTGTTCAAATACAATGGTATGTAGACATACCATTTCGCAATTCGCCGCCCCTTTTCATGAGCTTGCGGTACTACTGCGAGCAAGACAAGTAATATCTTTGGCCTAACAAATCGTCTTAGGCAACACTGTCAATGGCCGCACTGCAGACATTGGCTTGACCACCCATGGCTCCGACTTCTACTTTTCCATCTGCGCCGTCATGACTGTCGCGGGTTTCGCCTTCGCAGCCATGTCGTACCGTATTGAGCGCCGCAACCGTCTCTTCCACTACATCACCTGTGGTGTCGTCTTTGTTGCAGCTATTGCCTACTTTACCATGGGCGCCAATCTCGGCTTCACGCCTATCGAGGTCGAGTTCCGCCGCAACAATCCTGTCGTTCGTGGTACCTACCGCGCCGTTTACTATGCTCGTTATGTGGACTGGTTCATCACTACGCCTCTGCTTCTCATGGACTTGCTGCTTACCGCCGGTATGCCATGGCCCACCATTCTCTGGGTCATTCTTGTAGACGAAATCATGATCGTAACTGGCTTGATTGGCGCTCTCATTCAGAGCATTTACAAGTGGCCATTCTTTGTCTTTGGTAAGGGTTCCATTACTCTCCCTTTTGATGGCAAGTCATGTGATTGGCTAACACACAACCACAGGCTGCGCCGCTCTCTTCTACATCGTCTTCCAGCTCACCTGGGAAGCCCGCATCCACTCCAAGACCTTTGGCCGCGACGTCGAGCGCACCTTTTTGATGTGTGGCTCTCTCACCGCATTCCTCTGGATCCTGTACCCCGTTGCCTGGGGCCTCAGCGAGGGCGGGTACGTTCCCTTTTATCTACCATTCCCCTCCCACATCCACTCACTCGTACTAACACCATTCCAACAGTAATGTCATCGCCCCCGACAGTGAAGCCGTCTTCTACGGCGTCCTCGACTTCCTCGCCAAGCCCGTCTTCGGCGCCCTCCTCCTCTGGGGCCACCGCAACATCGACCCCGCTCGGCTCGGCCTCCAGATCCGTGACTACAACGACGACACTATGCTCCAGGAGAAGCGTGTCAAGGATGCTGCTGCTCACAATGGCCAGAATGTTGTTAACCCGCCTCATGACGGCCCGGCGCCCGCTACTACTACTGTTTAAAGGAGAGAGAAAGAGAGAGAGACAGAATCTGCGCTTTGTGATGGCGAAGATACCCCCTTGTGTTGTGCTTTTTGTGCACGATAGTGTACGTATGTTGTTTGTCTTATGTTTTATTCGAGGATGACCTTCGTAATGTGTTGATGGTGGGGGGGGGGGAAGGTAATGTGTTAATATAATGTTGGGTGCTGGTGGAAGGTGGGAAGTGGTGGGAAATGCGTATATGAGTTTTTTTTTGTCTTTTTTACGATACCATTAAGAATTTCTTAATCAATCAGTCACTCGCTACAACATGTACTTGTATACTTATCCACTCGTGATGTCATGTCATGTGATTCGTATACTCGAAAACAACCAAAAAACAACAACAACAACAATGTGATGATATATATATACGTATGTAAATTGCATAGACACATACAAACATTACTATCTACTTCCCACATAAGCCCTCCTCCACAATCCATAAATACAATCCCCCTCCCTTCCCCTTACCAATCCCCCTTCAACCCCGCCTCCCCACTCTGATACCTCACCGTCCCCAGCCCACCCATGGCTACAACCGTCATAAAAACACTAATCAAGATCCAGACCAACCAACTCAAATACGGGCCATGCTGCACGCGATCCAGCGGACTATTCGACCCGACCCTACGATCAGTCTTGGCCTTGGCCCAGGGAATCCTATGTTGCTGGCCCAAGGCGGTTAGAATCTGTTCAGTTACGATTTTAGCGCCTGCAAGGACAATGGGGACACCGGTGCCGGGATGGGTGCTGGCGCCGACGAAGTAGAGGTTGTCGATGGAAGCGTGTTTTGTTTTGGGGCGGAAACTGAGGACGTTGAAGAAGGAGTGGCTGAGGCCGAGGATGGCGCCGCGGTCGAGGTTGAAGCGGGATTTCCAGGTGGGCGGCGTGTTGATGACTTCGTCGACGATGTGGGGTGCGAGGTTGATTTTGAGCCGGGCTTCCATGGTGCGGAGGATGGTGTCGCGGGCCGAGGCGACCATTGAGTCCCAGTCTTGTGTTAGCCCCGCGGTGTGCTTGGAGCCTTTGTGCGCGTTTGTGCTCGAGTCCTGCAGGTGGCCGACAGGGACGAGGACGACGATGGAGTCGCAGCCGGGGGGCGCGGCTGAAGGGTCGACGCGCGAGGGGACGTTGACGTAGAAGCTGGGTTGGTCGGGGATGAGGTGCTTTTTAAAGATGCTGTCGAAACTGTCGCGATATTCCTCGGCGAGGAAGATGTTGTGCGCGCTGAGTTCGGGGAATTGGCGGTCTAGTGCCCAGTAGAAGGATATGCTGGAGCACGAGGCTTCGCGTTTGAGGAGAGAGCGCGACATGGAGGATGCGGGGAGGAGGTTGTTGTATGCGTAGGTTAGGTCGGCGTTGCAGACGACTATGTCTGCGGTTAGGGGTGCTTTGCTTTTGTCTTCGAATTCGATGCCTGTTGCGCGTTTTCCGTCTTCTGATAGTGTAATCTTGCTGATGGGACTGTCGAACATGTATTCGACGCCTAGGCGTTGGCCTACATCCACAAGTTTCTCAATCACCTACGAAAACGTCAGTATGTAGGACCATATTTTCTGGTACAGTACCCGTTACCTTGTGGAAACCACCAATTGGATACCAGATACCCTCTGCTAGCTCGGTGTATTGCAACAAACTGTACGTTCCGGGTGCATCAAATGGACTCATACCCATATACATACTCGCAAACGTAAACACTCTCCTCAGCCTCTCGGTCCAAAAGTACTTGCTCGCCCGGTACCAAATACTCTCAAACGGATGCAGTTCAATCAGATGCAGCAAAAAGTCCAAGCGCGCCATACTCAGCAGCGAGTAAAAGTTTCTCCGCAACACATAAATAACTGAAACCTCGTAGTGGCGATGGCTCTCCTGCAGAAACGATAGATAGCGCTCAAACCCCGCCGTGCCTTCAAACCGCTCAATCTCCTCTTTCATGACGGAAATATCCGTCGACAGCGTAAACGCCGTATCATCATGAAAATGCACCTTGTAGTTAGGATCGCATTTGACCAGCTTGACCCCTTCTCCCTCAAGCGAAGTCCCCAGATCCTCAAACGTCTCGTGGAAAAAGCGAGGCAGAAGTAATAAGCTCGGGCCTTGGTCGAATCTCTATTTTTTTGGGTTAGTATTTATCAGCTCTTTTTTTTTGTCCAGTTCAGTCCAGTTTCGTTCGTTTTTGCCCAGATTGGTTTACATAGACTGAAAAAAACAAACATACATATCCTCGACGGTGAATCAAACTGCAGCGTCCACCGGAAAACTCATTCTTTTCTACAACCGTCACTTTGCAGCCTGCAGCGGCCAGACGCGCGGCGAGGGCTACGCCGCCAGCTCCCGCACCGACGATAACAACGCTCGGGCCCGTCGCGCTCGCTGCCTTGTAGTCTCCCATCTCTTATTACTGTTTAATTCCCTTTTTTCTCTCTTTTGGTTCAAAGTGCGGGTTTTCTCTCAGTGGTACGGGATATAATGTTCGTCTGACAGTTCGACAACGAATGAACCGGGGTTTTTTGCGAATAGGTTGGGTAAAAGAAAGAATCGTGCAGCGCGTTACGTGAAGGAAGGAAAGTCGCGCCACACCATTTGTTCCCGCTCGGGTATTCCTGGATCGCTTCACCAAGTCATGACGTATACACAAATTCAATAACAACAACTAGTCATTTATGCAGGCACTCGTTTCGGCATTGCGCTTTTGGCATGTGGAAATGCTTATTGTTGTTGGATTGAACGGAAGGGGGCCGTGCCAAAGAAAGCGTGGGTTGCGCTTTTTTGGGTGAATGCCGGGCGAGCGCATGCACATGGTTCAATTGGGTATGGAGCTGCAGTCTGGCTACACGAATTGTAGTAGTAGCTTGGTTTAGACTACAGTCCTTGCGACAAGGCTTTCCCAAAATAAAACTTTCGAGCGAGACGACATCTTGAGTATTTCAGCATCATTTATCAAAAAGAAAACAGCTTTCCAATGCAAAAAGCTGTGGCGTGATTGACCTCGGCCACCACGGATGCCGGTAAGATGGCACCCAGCGCGTGGTCACAAGGTTTCGCAGCTAACCAAGGACTTGATGAGACTTGGCAGCCAAGGAAAGATGGCGTTTGCCAAAAAACCGCATGCGGTACATCAAGCTGTCAGGTCTGGGCAGAGATGTCGAGTCATGACCATTACATTAGAATTACACAATATGTACAACACTAGTCGTCTCCACCGTAAATGCTAAGAACATCGGTCGAGTTCTTGTACTCTGGCTCACAGAATTCCGTAAAGCCGCCAAAGCGAGTCTTCTTTTCTTGAATAAACTCCTCAAACGCGGCCTTTGAGCAACTCTCCCCTGGTCCATCCCCGCAAGCCAATGGCTGCGGATCCTTGTTCACGAGTACCCGGAAGTACTCGCCTGCATCGAAACCATAGCTGTCACACGTCATCTTCTCAATGGCAAAGTTGGACAGGAAAGGTAGGATCCGTGAGGAGCGCCAGACTCGGCCGTGGTTCGGCCTGTCCAGAGGCATTGTGGCGTTCGGGTTGTTGACTCCGGTGTAAGCGCTGTTGTTGAACAAGCCCATTGCTACAGCGACTGTAGGAGGCAACTCGCGGTGGGTGAAAGAGACGTAAAGATCTTGGTCGGCATCGTCGGATAGTAGCACGCTGGCAGAAGCATTGAGCCAGGGGAATCCCAGAGTACCAGCGAGCTGCTCGCTTGCATATCCGGTGTTGTAAAAGTACATGATGTCGTTCATGTACTCGAATGAAAGCCACTCATCCTGAGAGAAGAGATCAAGAGAACAGAAAGGAGATGAGCCACGAATCACGGTCTCATAGCCGCACAGCTGCTGCATGCCGACAATGTCGCTGGCTGTGAAGTTGAAGTTGGGCGCATAGTCATTCAAACGGCCGATGATGGGCTTGGTGTAGGTCTTTTGGTATTCCTGGGCATGGGATTAGTCGCGATCATTTAATTTGCTATGTTATACATACCGACGACTGATCACTACCATAAGAAGAGCTATACTTGGGGCAGCCCTTGTAGGGTGTCAGAGAATCCGCACCTCTAGCAGCATCCTCGCGCACAGGGACAAGCTTTGTGCCGTTGCTTTCGGCGACAAGGCCGTCGATAAAGGAAGACGTGCTGAGCTCTGTCCTCTCTGCTGTCGACGTCCACACGCTCTTGGGGTCCTTAAAGGATGGGTATCGTAGGCGAACATCAACACCCAGCTTGTACGACTCAAGCCGGCCAATGGATGTCAAGTCCTCGAGCTCCTCGTCCGTAATAGGCGATTGCCACCTAGCGAGGAATTCCAGCGGGCCCGCGCTGCGCCAGTTGGCAGTAGTATTCTTCAGCTTGTCGGTAAAAGGCTCAATGTACTCCTCGTAATCAAAGTCGTTTGCGTAAATGGCGGCATGACGGATGAGGTATGACGCACGTGTGACATTGCATCCCTGGGGTGGTTTTGGGTCGCCCTGTGGATCCTCAAAGTACGGTGCAATGCCAGTCAGATGGCGCAAAGGATTAAACGAAGACGAGGAGGATGAGTAGGAAGAGCCTGCGGATACGCCTAGCGCGTTGGCAGCGACGAGGAGCGACACAAGAGCCGACTGCATGGTGAAAGTGTGGCTGCGGTGCGAGCCGTGCCTGGACAAACAGGTGAGGCTGGTGCCTTTTTAATGCTGCGCGGAACAGCAAACCATGTCATTGCCATGTTGATCGCGTTCAAAACTTGGCAGTGAAATTTGTTGTGTTAATTGCCTAACTTGCATGCAATGACGATGTTTCCCAGGCACGGTCCGAGAGAGTGGGGATGAGCTGGGGCCTACAAGATCAGCTATGAAGTCACTGTTGGACGGGGCTCTCGGGTAAGTTGTGTGTCGCGTACAATCACGTACAGCCATGGTCTGATTGGCACCAGACGCGTTCAATGTTTAATATGGAGAAATAGTCGGTAGTATCATGTGTAACATTGTTGATGGTTGGTGGACGTGGTAACTGCAATCACGTGAGAGTCTCCTACACAGCACCACTTCATTGACCTCCACCACAACTCCATCCTTTGGATCTCCCCACAATATCGCCTCATCCCAAGTCTTGCAGTTGTTCAAAAAACAAACAAACAAACAATAACAAGATATACGCTTGCGAAGTTGGTACGTGGCTAGCACCCGGCTGGTCAAGCCCCAACCCCACAGCTACGTCAGCCACGCCTCGATCGCCCCACGCACTGCCACTCTCCGTTTCTTCACATCGCCAAACCTCGCATGCAAGATCGAATTTGAAGTAGAAAGACAACGATATTGATATTCGCCTCTACCAGCGCAAAGCTAGGAGCACCAAAAAAACACCACCACCTCAAGAAGAAAACTCTCTCTACACCCCTTCTATGTAGAAAACACATACACACCTCACACCACCCTTCCCACTCACCAATCTATTTACATAACACCCGACCTCCTCTGGAGCGACCGCACCTTCTGCTCAAGCACATGGCAGTCATTCTCTTTGCGATGCAAATCCCTCATCAGCGCCTCCTTCTCACTCCGTAACGCCTGCATCTTCCCCCCCACATCCTCCCGATAATTAGCATGTTCCTCCATCAGATTCTCCAACCGCTGAAAATCCCATTGGGTCGGAGCAGCACCGGCTCCTGGACTGCCGCCTGCTCGTAACCGCTGAAGCTCGGCCTCCTGGGAGCGGATCTTGGCCTCGAGATCCGTCACCGTGCCCTGCCAGGCCTGATGCGCCGTCGTGCGATTGAGGTGGTCGATGCCGCCGTTCTGCGACGCACCCAGTTGCTCGACGAGATCGGAGTTGCGCTTTTCGAGCTCGAGCGCGCGCTGCTCGAGGGCCGCAATCTTGGCTGCAGTAAAAAGATCTGTAGTGTCGCGCCTCTCAAGAAAGCTGGACATGCGAGGCCGGTTGGGGCTGATGCGGCCTGCGGGCGATTGCGCTTGGAGACGGTCTAGCTCTCGAGTCTTCTCGGCGAGCTTGCTGCGCACGATTTGCACGTTGAGGAGGTCTTCGTCGCGGAGTTTTTGTGTGGCTTCGAGTTCGCGGCGGGCTTTGGCGAGCATGCCCTATGGCTTGTTAGCATAAGGTATTGAATAGGGTGTTGGGTGATGGACTTACTCGGATCTTGATGTTATTCTCGACGTCTTCGTCTCGGAGACTCCAGATGGCTTCGTGGCGCTTCCACCAGACCTTCTTCTCTTCTTCGAGCGCTTTTAGACGGTTCTTCATCTCCAGGAACTCCTCCGGGGTGACGGATGCAACAGGGTTGGCTTGTTCAATGTGAATGAGCTTGGACATGAGGGCCGCAAGTTGCGACTCGAGAGGGCCAGGGACGTGTGGTACTGGAGGAGGGGGCGCAGGTTTCTCATTCTCGATGCTCATCTTGCTCATCTTGAGCACAGGTGGTGCGGCTGGCTTCTTCAAAGAGTAGGTGTCGTCTTCCTCGCCGTCCAGCGTTGAGGATCTCGATGTGGCATCGTCGTCTACAGGTCGTTGCTGTAGCCTCGGCTGGTTGTGGAACTGCAGGTTTGCCGTTTGAGGAGGCACAACCTGGGCCTGGATCTGGACCTGTGCCTGTGCCTGCATCTTCTGTGCCATGAGGTTGGCGGGGGATCCAGCTTGGGGCCTGTTCCACGCAAGCGGCGCTGGGTTGTTCATCCTGGAAGGATAGTCCTGCTCGTCATCGGAACCCAAGTCGGAGTAGGTATCCGAATCGTAGCTCGGGGGTTCCGCCTGCAGCTGAGGCATTTGCTGCAGCTGGGGCATCTGGGGCATCTGGGGCATCGAGTTCATTTTGGGCGAGTGTACTGACAACGGCCGGGTTGCAGATTGTACAGAGGCGATAGACACAATGGAAGGAGTGCGGTGAGGTGATGGCTTCGTGCGGTTTGGTGCCCACATATCGTGTTGGTATGGAAAAACAAAGGTAATAAAATATATATGGTCGAAAGGGTGTTTCTGGTCGAACGGTTGTGCAGTGGCCTCCCAGAAGCTGACTGCTATTTACAACGCGAGCAAAAAATAAAGAATCGAATAACGAACAAAAAACAAAATACACACAAAGGACGAACCAGCGGAAAGCCGTTGAAGAGCGGTTTGAGGCTTTTCGAAAAAGTTCGTTGCCTTGCCCGTGGGTTTGAATATAATATGTAGTCTGGTTGTTGCGGCCGTGTTGTGAAACCAGCCTGAGACGTAGGGCACCCGTGCAGCCGGATATCTGTGACGGGGGAACGGGGTGGAAACTACAAGATAGCCGCTAACATGGCAAGCCTGACATCAAATTTCCCAGGTTGATCACCACGCCAAATGCGTATGCGCAAGCCTCAAGCTTGGCCTTTCCCATTGACTAGAGCGCGAACGGAAACAGAGAATTATAGTGGAACGGGGTGGGGGGCGGCGCGTTTGGTTCATGGGGGGGAGCATAGTTGCGCTCTTTAAGCATCCAAACGCGCATGATTTGCGCCTGCACATTCATACACGCAGAATTTCACAAGGGCGGAATAAAATCGCCTTTGCCAACATTGAATTTCGAATTCCCGTTGGATAATTGCCATACTCGCCAAGAAAAAAAACCAGTGCCGCTGTCAAAAAACAAATATCCAAATGCTTACCTCATTGATGTTATCCCAAGGCGCCAACAAAATGGTCGCTAGTGCAAATCTCACCCTTCTTCCCCTCATGAGGCTGAAACCCCTCAAGCGTCACGCCCGTATCAACGCTCCTCTGGCGGCCCCCCTGCCCCTCCCAAAAAACGTGAAGTCGACCCTCATGCACCTGCTGCCTCAGCCAAGCATGCCAGGCACGACAAAAGAGATTGGGGATCAGCGCTCGGAGGCTTGGGTTATAGCACAGCAGAAACTAGTGTACACTTTGCGTTTCCTTTTCTAACCCTTTTTTCCCCGTCCCTTCGCGATGCTCGCGATGGCGGAGATGCGGACGTATCGAGTAGTAAGATCCTTGTTTTGGGCGGTGCCGAGTCGGAGAAAAAGGAGAGAGCGAGGGGGGAGGGGGGTGAAAACGTGTTTGGTAGAGCGTATGTACTTATGTAGACGGAAAAAGCGGCATGTTGGTTATCAGACAAGGGGGAGGGGACGGGGACTCAAGGATATGACTCGATGGAAGGATTTTCTTTTTGATCCTTTTTTCAGGTATCTCAAGGGTGTGAAGCGTTTATCGCAAAGAGAGAAAGAGAAAAAAAGGGGGGGATTCCTGTCCCATATGGATCTATGGAGTGACTCAAACATCGTACCGGTCCGAACTGTGATGGACGGGTGTGTAGGTAAAGTAATCAAACTGCGCTACCTTCTCTGTGCCATTCATGTCCGATGCTGCGACGCCTACAAATGCGCCTGTAAAACTGCCGTGTCTGCCAGAGAGGTTAGCCAATCAGTCTTTTCATCTGGTAGACTGAATGAGGTAGACGAAAACTCACGCTTGATGACCACCACACTCGTCACTCAAAATCGATGCATCATACACCGGCCCGATATCCTTCAGCTCCTTCTCGCCTTCGAGCGCGTACTTGAACTGCAGCCGCGGGCCTCTGATACTAAGCGCCAATCTGACTTTGCCCTCCTGCGGAATCTGGACCGGGTCAGGAAACGGCATTTTGAGATTGCCATCAGGCCACGAAGCTTCGGAGCTCATGAGCAGCAACTCGCGTTTGCCATCAGAGTGTGCAGTGACGGTTAGATAGAAGAAGTTGAAGCGGCAGTAGTATGCCGTTAGTCCTGCAAACGTGCGCTCGTCGTCTGGTGCAAAGTCCACCACCGTCTCGGCGTCGTAGGAGAAGTGCGTCTGACGACGGGCGACAAGCGCCTGTTCGAACCAGGAGCCGATGGACTCTCGGCCCGTGAGCTGCAGCCCCGTTTTTGACAGGCGGAAGATGCGCTCGGGCTCAGGGGTGCGGAGCCATTGGAAATCTTTGTGCAGCGTGTCGGTGCTGGTGAAGTCGTAGTGTTGCGGGGACCAGTATGCCGTATCGTCGCGCTCTGCTGGTAGATCCACGTAGAGAGATGGGACTGGTCCGTTCTTCACGTATAGCCAGTCGTCCTTGTCCCAGTAGGCTTCTTGAATCGCTGTCTCACGTCCGAGCACGCAGCGACGTGCTTGCGTAGTTGGGCGTCCTGTCAGATGAACGATGTACGTCTTGCCGTCTGGCGTGTCGACAATGTCTCCGTGACCTGCTCGTTGTAGAGCAGTCAGCGGCGCATCTTTGGAAGTGATGATGTGCTTTTGCGGATGTAACTCATATGGACCCCATATATCACGCGATCGAGCAAGAGTGCAAGCATGGGTATATGCAGTGCCTCCCTCTGCAGTCAAAAGGTAGTACCAGCCGTTTCTCTTGTACAGATGTGGTCCTTCTGGAAGACCAAGATCTGAGCCAGGGAAGATTGTCTTCCGGGGTCCAACAAGTTTTTCGGTTTTCTCGTCCCATTGTTGCATTCTGATACCCTTAGATGCGGAACATACGGCGTTAGCATTTTTGATTCCAGCGAGGAATTGTAAATTTGGGCGAAAAACTAACAGAAAAGAATTGTGGACGCCTCCGATGATCCTGAAGCATGTTCACAAACCACTTCTTTCCATCATCGTCATGGAACAATGAAGGGTCAAATCCAGAAGAATTGACGTAAATAGGGTCAGACCATGGGCCTTCGATCTTGTCGGCGTGAACAATGTAGTTGGGGTTGTCTTTGAATGAGCCATCCTTGCGCTTGACATCCGTGTATACAAGCCAGAATTTCTTGCCGTCATGGGTTAAGCAGGGGGCCCATATACCTTTTCAGATGTGTTATTCCAGGCTCAATTAGGGGGAGCGAGGGGCTGAGTGGAAAGACGTACCACAGCTGTCCGGGTCACCACGCATATCCAGCTGGCTCTTTCTCGTCAACGGACGAGTTACGAGGTCCCAGTTGGCAAGGTCCTTGGAGTGGTGGATCTGTACACCGGGAAACCATTCGAACGTTGAGGTGGCAATGTAGTACTAATATGGCCAATTCGTTTAGTGCATGTCCTGGTATGGATCCTGGAATGTACAGTCTTTGTACTGGATCTCGCACTTACTGTACCATCTCATTAGTTCATTGTGCTTCCCAAAAAAAACTCAAATAAAAGATTAATATACCATCATCTCCAACCCTCAGTACTGACGGATCCGCATTGAACCCTGGCAGAATCGGATTCCTTACTAATGGCATCTTTGCTGTTATGTGAACACACTATGTCCTGGTTTCTTTTTTCTTGGATGCAAACGTGGACACCAGCTCTATTATCTACAGGTAAAACTAAGAAACAAATTAGCCGGGCCGGAATGGGGGCACGCGGTACTGCTCTTTTGCCGGCGCCTGTTTTGTTAGCACGTTATCGACGGTGCGGGCGGCTGACCCCGCATACGTACGGGACACAGACGGGGCAACGTAAACACATCTCAAAAATTTCTTGGCAATACCACACTCTTCATCTTTATTCGAAGACTCCCTGTGATTCGAGTGGATCTGGTAGTTGTCCTTCGGAATACCGCATACAGGAGTCCGTATTTGGTAATCGTGGTGGGGTAAGGTGGAGGTGGGGCAAAAGCTCAAGGCGCACATGTGTAACAAGTGTATCGCCTGAACAGCAAAGCCATATGCCAATCGAAACATCTCATGAACGATACGATGAAGACGTGTGCTTCACAAGACTGGTTTACCACATCTGCATTACATTATCAACATCATAGCACCCACCAACTAAGGAAACCATTGCGAAGACAGACTGGGTATCTTTGACGGAATTGATGAACCTGATGCATGCGACTTGGGGGCCATTCCAACCATGTAACAGCTCAAAAATCTACTTTATATTTTGCTTGCCGAACGTATGGCAGATTGACCACTTCAGTCGCAGCATGTTGACGACAAGATGTGTGTAAACATCTACTTAGGCCTGGGTGCTCGAGACACCCTGATTATTTTCTTCGGCTTCCTCCGAGTCTTGATGAGCGGGTGCATGGTTTGATGCCTGGTCGGTAGTGGATGAAGCAATGACACCAGCAGGCAGAGAAAATCCCTCTCCTTCATCTGTGTCCAGCTGCATCAGGAAAGTCTCCCAGATCTCGATGAGCTAGTGGAGTGATTAGCAAGGTCTAGCATTGGGACGAAAGCCAAACATACCTCCTTTTGCGCTTCTACCGCACTCTCCAAGAATGTCTCCACTCCTGATTTGAAGTCTTCTACCTTTTCTCTCTCAAAGCGCTCCAGTTCACTGCGCATGAGTCGCCCCATGTCGTCGAAGAGCAGTCTCGCTTGATGCACCTTGCGCTCGGCATCGGCAACATCTGCGCTGAGTTGGTTCAAACGGTCTTGCTGTGATCTACCCTGTCTCAGAAGCTTATCCTGAGTTGCCTTTCGCTTTTGCAGCTCTTGCTCGGCAGAGTGCCATGAATGGTAAGCTTTTTGTCGTTGCTGGAACGCGGTTTTGACCGAGCCAATCAAGCGAATATACTCGTCTATGACAATGCCCATGGTGAGAACATCCTGTTGGGCTTGACGTTCGTAGAGTTCACGGATACGGATCTGGATGTCGGATAGGCTGTCGAGGGGTCCAGACAGGGCAGGCGACAACTCGACAGCAGACAAGGAATGCAGGGAAGCCGAAAAGTCACCACACGCTTCAGCTAGGCCTTTTCGTTGGGAAACGACTGTGTCGGTTGCCTTAAGCAGAGCCTTGAGTTGAGCTTCGAGCGCATCGAGGTAGACCCTCCGGTCATGGAACCACTAGAATATCGTTAGTACCGAATGAGTGCAGAGGGCTGGGCAAACGCACATCATCATGCTCAATAAACTTGCCAGAGCTACTGCCAAGCATGGAGCCGAACATGCCCTTGTTCTCTCCCAAACCGGGGTCCTTGCGTTCCTTGTTCTTGATATCCATATTGAAGGCCTCGCTCTCGAGGAATAGCTTCAGATCGCTATCATGTTGCAGCACAGGGTGGGCAGCCGACTTGTTGAGCATGCGCTCCAGAGCAGCACGGCGAGACTCGACAAAATCGGCGTCGAAGCGACCGACAGCTTGTTTTTCTGGGGGTGGAGGGATGATGACACCGGGGTTGTTGTTGTGCAGCTGGTTGTAGAGCCAGAGGAAGTCGCGGTAGCGGCGAGAGACTGTGAATTCGGGGTTGCGGTAGCCTTTGGAGGTTGTCTTGGTTGTGACGGAGTACTCGGTGTGGGAGCTGGTGAGGTCGCCAACCTTGTGCGGGTCGCCCACAGAGATTGAAAATGAAGGCTTCGCCGCCTGTTCGACACTGACGCTGGGCTGTGTCTGGCGCTGGGGCGCCGGTTGGGATGGAGCCTGGACGGGTGGAGGCAGCCGTGCCCCTTGTGAGGCGCGCAGCTGGTCCTGGTCGTTGTCATCAAGGTCGACCGAGTCCATCATGCCGCGCAATGAAGACGAAGCTGATGCTGCCCCTGCTGGTCGGGTACCGTGAGCAGCAGCCTCTTTCTGGGGCGGCGCTGGGGGAGCAACGGGCTCGAGGCCAGGCGACGGTGTTGGTGCTCCCAGAGGGCCCAGCGGATCTTCGACGGCCTCCAGCTTGGTCGACTGCACGCCATGGGGCCGCCGCCGGGGGCCACGGCCTGCGGGAGAGCGCGGTGCAGAGGCAGCCGAAGGGGCGGCATCGACGGTGAGGGTGGTTGTGGTTGTGGTTGTAGACGAGGCGTCCTGGGGGGCATCGTCGTGGCCCAGCTGCTTGGAGGCACCGGGCGCAGGGCTGGATTGCGAGGGCACATCTAGAAAGCGTGTCAGTAAGATGCCACGATTACCGACAAGCGAGGAGATCTGTACCGCCCCAGGGAGAGTTTTCTGCGTCGCCCAGATCCATTGGCGCGGTGAGGAGATGTACGGGACGAAGGACGGTGGTGGTGCGGGTTTGTGGTCGTATGGATGTAGTTGGATGGTGTCGCATCCGGCTATGACATATGTACAAGGCTCCACTAAGCACCAAATGGCCCGGCCCTCCCCTGCCTATACTCTACCAACGTACATAAGTTCTCTACGCCCGCGTTGACACTAAACTTGTAATTGACCGAGATTCTATGGACTACTAGTACGCCCAGAAATTCTGTTGCGTCCCAACTCTAATCGTCCCAAATACCTGTTCCATCCCCTCACATATTGGATCCGCCCAGACTCGCTTTCCCATGCTCGCAGGTATAGCAGACCTTTCCATCCTTCGAACCCAGCCTCATCGTCCCCATGGTCAGACCCATGCGCTTGCCCAGATGCACAACCCAGCTTTCCACAAAGATGGTCGAACCTACCGGCGCCGGCCTTAGGTACGTGCAGTTGACTTTGGGCATCAGTTAGCAAGATTCTGAGAAGGACTTGGGAAACACGACGTAATTTCGGAGCAATTCAGCTCCCACACACAATGCAGCACTTACTGCCCGAATGTTAGCAAGACTCGTCATCCGTTTGGCATTCAACAACCTACCGATTTCGTGAAACATTACCACCATCCCAGAACCCCTCGCGCCCACACGGCAAAATAGTCAGCGACGTCGTGATGTCAAAGATCAATGCTACCGCGCCTCCATGAAGATTGCCTCCGATATTGCAAAGTTCCTCTGGTACCACGAAGCTGAAGACTGTGCGCGCATCATGCGGATGCTCACTAGATGGCGTGTACGTGACTGATTCCAGCTTGAGTATCTTGGCTACGATGGCATCATGGCCCTATGTTACAATACATTAGGGGCCTGGACTTGGAATTTTAGACAAGGAATAAACATACATTATATTCGAAGCCATTAACCATGTCAAACTAGCATTTCGCGACGGCCATGTCAGCAATACATGGCATAGGCGGATAGAGACAGACAAACCCATTGCTTGACTTTGTCAGTAGGCGAATCTGAAAAGTCGCCCCCAAACCTGGGGCCTTTCTTTTTCCCCAAATCACTCATTTTGTAAAGAAAAGGCTCTTGTGGAATATACGGGAAGGGGATCTGAGGCGCCCCTAAGGAGGCGGCCGGGGGTAGGCACACATATGATACAGACAGGCGGACCTCGGTATCTGTGAAATACAACGCTAAACCATTTTAGGCGCCAACACCAGAAATTCTATGTAATAGTTTACGACTCGACTTGCCGTCTCCAATTCAGCGCACGAATACCACCTGCTCGTCGTCACAAATTATACAATCATGGATACCTCCATCCTCTTCCGCCAGCTCCTCCGCATGCCCGCCGCCCACCGCAATGCCCTCCTACAACCCACCCGCCCACATATGCGCGCATTCGCAGCCTACACACAACCCCTCACCCAACCCCGCTACCTATCTGTTCCACGCATTGTCCAGCCCAGTTTCTGGGCTTCATTGATTCCAAAGCCATTCAAAACACGCACCGAGACACCTCGCTCCAAAGAATGGAACCCCGCCACACCCTACATTATTCTCGGCCTGCTGGTCGGCAGCCAAGCCATCCAAATCTTATGGCTGAAACAGGAGCGTAACCACGACTTACGCAGGGCAGAAGCCAAGATTGGGATCTTGCGTGAGGTCATTGAGAGGGTGCAAAGGGGTGAGAAGGTGGATGTTGAGGGGGCCTTGGGTACGGGTAATGCAGTGGAGGAGCGGGAGTGGAAACAGGGTGAGTTTTCCTCCTCGTATATTGGTTGATTTGGTGTAGAAGACTGACATGCAGAATAGTTTTGAAAGATATACAAGACGAGGAGGCGCTGTTTCAGAGCAAGAAGAAGAGAAGGGCTATGAGGGAGGCAGCGCTACAGGAAGAGGCTACAGAGAAGAAAATGGGTCAAGAAAGTACAAAGAGTCAGGATCCCGCGAAGATGCAAGTGGAAAGTGTGGGTGGAGTTAAATTCTACTGAAAAAAAGCAATGGGGCATTCATCTGTTGGAAAGAAAAGAAGACAAGACATGATCGCATGGGGTATCTCGAAAAATGAAATCCCTGAAGGCTTCGGAACCAGCCGACAGCCAAAGATGTGAAACCCCCCGAAGTGAAACTGAAAGAGAAGAAGAAGGAAAATCAAGAAAGAGCATCTCAGCAGCACCCCCACTACTCGGACTCCTCGGACTCCTCGGGCTCTTCAGACCCCTCAGACCCCTCAAAATCCTCAGAATTCTCAAGTTCCTCAGGCACTTCATGCTCTTCAGGCACACCAGCCACCTCAGGCTCGTTAGACACATCAGGGACCTTGACACCCATCTCCCTCAAAGCTTTCAGTCTCAATCCCCTCTTCTTATTCCCCAAATTATTCGATATCTTGGTAGCTCCCCTCGCCGCAGGGTTATCACACAGCAGCCTCAGCGTGATACCACCTCTCAAAGCATCATCCACGATGGACTTCTGCTGCTGCAGCACCCTGCAAATACAGGCGAGTCTCCTCTCCAGACACTTCTCACCCACATCAACAAGCTTGCCGCGCTTGGCGTCCTTGTAGTAAATAAGCAATCTGTTCCATCCAATCTCGTGCACAGCGACGGCACGGTCAAAGATGTGGTGCGCCGTGGCTTCGAGATCTATGGGGTCATGGATGAAGTCTTGTGCCATGCGCCTGCGGTGGACCGACACCGAGCCATCGTCTATGTTCGAGATATCGATAATGGATTCGTAGATGCGGCGGACCCAGTAATTACCTGGGGGCGTACTAGTTAGACTTCCTCATGGAGAGGGAGGGAGAGCGGGAAGGGGTTTAGAGTGAAGAGTCGACTTACGTCCGAACTTCTTTACCCGCTCGACATCTGGTGCTTGATTCTTGATCATTCCACGTGAGCGTTTGCGGTGGGTCTTTGCGTCTTCTCCTGTTGCGAAGCGGTTGCTAAATGGGGGATAAATCGGTCTGGGTCCGTTTGGATTAGGAGGGAGAATGCCGTCGTCGATGAGTGGGACATAGTTTTGTGCCGTTAGCGGTACATTGTTGGCATTCATCAGCATGGGTGCAGGCACAGGAGGCGCAGTGGTGTCGGTGGATGTATTGGTTGCAACAACAGGTGGAGGTGCCGTATTGACAGTGGCAGCAGGAAGAGCAGGAGGAACCGTAGGAGTAGGAAGGAAATGAGCGGACACAGAAATTGGACCCGACGCTGGAGTTTTCCCAGATGCGGGAACGGACGCCGATGCTCGACTACGCCTTGGTGCAGAAACTGATGACGATGCTGGATTACGCCTTGATGCTGGGACGGATGCTGGAGCCCGATTTCGCCTTGGTGCGGGAACGGATGCTGGAGCTGGAATCGTAGGAGCAGGCACAACAGGCTGGAACCCCTGACTGTTCATGAACTGTTGGTAAATCGCATCCAAACCTGGTTGCTCGAGGTTGTTTGCATATGGCGATGGATTTCCTGGCCGGGCAGGGTTGACTGGACCGGCTTCCTCAACATGGACATAGTCGAATCCATTGCTTCCATCACTGCGGGGAGTCGCCTGCGACGCATGATCGCTGTCCGAGAAAGTGTATGGAACTGCCTGTGTGCCATGTCCGCTCACATTCGCAACCTGGCCAAAGTTGTTTCGTGGTTGCGTTGAGACGGTGCTCAAGTCGTTCTGGACAAAGACGAAGTCGTTTGCCTGTGGTGAGACCTCGTTCTTGACTTGATAGCCAGCGCCATGGAAGTTGGTCATGATACCGCTGCCATTCGACTGCAACTCCTGAACCTGCTGAAACGATGCCGGAATCTCTGAGTTATTTGCAGCCGACAGAAACCCGCTGTTCTGGAAGTCGAAACCCTCTTCGCCGAAAAAGTTGAAAGGTTCACTCAAGGTAGCGTCGAGACCATTGAGACCGTTGGAGTTGAAGTTGACACCGAGTCCTGCACTTCCTCCTCGATTATCAGTCGGAGCGGGTACAAAATCGGCAAAGAAATTGGAAGCATCGAATAGGTCACCAGGACCCATTTTCAGCGCCGGTTCATTCGCTGGTTGCGACCACGTACCGGATGCCTGCGGTGCATGTGTGACTGGAGCAGGGATAGGAGCAGTAGCAGTAGTGGCGGGAGTAGGAGCGGGAACAGAACCGGGAGCAGGCGTAGTAGGGACCTCGACCACTTCATGAAGCTCATCCCACACAAGCTGAAGCAATCTCTGCAGCGATTCGTCAGGAAGAGTAAGAAAGGCATCGAAATCCACATCCTGCAGGCGCTGATTCTGCTCTGACAGGTTGAAAGACTCGGGACTCGCCTGCAACACCCTCGCAGTGTACTGTGGCTCACCAGGAGCAGCAATGGCACGCCGTGATGCCATTCCTCCTCTCTCCTCTTCTATACTCAAGTATAAGAAGCAGACGCAGGGCAGGGGGGGATACCAGATCCCTCGTTCACAAAAAAAAAGCGTTCAAACGACGGTTCCAGCCCGTAGCAAAGCGTAGAATATTGTGGTTGAAAAAATAAGAAGAAGTAAAAAAGAAGAGTTTGACGAACCGGCCGTCTGCAAAGAAAGAGAAAAGAAACCGCTGGGCACGGGAAGTAGAGTACAGAGCAGGAAAGTACAGGAGAAAGAAAAGTAAGACGGTGAGGAGGGAGGCAGCAATATACAGGCAGTCACATAAAAAAAAAACCTTCAACCTCACCAATACCCTCCCTCACCCCATCACCACAATAAATTCCCATTGTGTCCAGCATCACCCACATCGTGTTGTCTCAACAGACAAACAATAACACCCCCACTTTTCCCCCATCTTCTATTCTTCCTGCCCGACACTATTGTACCTCGCTAGCGATCGACGTAATCTGTGCGTTTGGGGTTATTGTGCGCCGGGGGGGCTGGGCGGGCGGTGAGGAGTAAGTGAAGTGAGTGAGGAAGGCAGAGGGCACGGTTGGGGAAAGTCAAGTGTGGGTCTTGCACACGCGACTGAATAGGATCTGCTGGTGGGGATGGGAGAACGAGTGCCTGGACTTTGAGGAATTTCGTATTATTGCGCGTGAGGTTGTGCTGGGTGGGGGGGAGGGCATGTGTGGTCAGGTATACATCAAGTGGGTTGCAGCAAAAAAAAGAAGGTCATGGGTAAGATGTATTCAAACACTTTCACACACACACCTACACCCACACTGGATACTGTGTACACATAGACGGAGTATGCATGGAAGAAAAGTAGCACGAGCATACATGTTATTCAAGCAACTTGAAAAAAAAAAGAATGAGAGTTTTACATGTACAAATGGATATGTGCTACATCGCACCTAATAAAAATACAAGTCACAAGGGCAGCAAGCAATCCACACAATCAAACTCATCAATGATTCCCAAATAAAAAAAAACTGATTTGCAATATTACACCAGTAAGGCTCAGCCTACATACATCATGGGACTTTAGCACCCCCACCCAAAAATTAACCAAACAACAACAGACCAAAAAGACTACAAAGGGCTCGTAATACACATTAGGGGTCTCTTTCTCTCTCTCTCTCTCTTTTTCCACCACAACCGACCGACGACAACGACGAACGAACTCGAGTCTACACATCGGAAACCAAAATCAAAACAAAACCAGAGTTCGTATGCGGCATTGACAGGGTTGAAAAAAAAAGAGCAAGTTGCGCGCAATGTAAACAGGAGGTGGGCAGTTCGTACATGACAATATGTATACTAACCGAAAGGCTTCTTTAAACAAAAATCCAAACAAAAAAAAAGTTGAAGCTAGCCCTCTCCTGGTTTTGCTCTTCATGCGCTCTCCCCCCTCCTCACCGCCAACAAGGCCAGCAGCGTACTATAGTACTCAAACCAAACCAAAAAAAAATCGCGCAATCATCACGTGATCAAAACAGACATGAGAGGTTTCGCAAAGTTAAGAGAGAAAGCAAAATGGTATAGAACAGGGAAAGCCCCTTCCTCCGCCGTACATCTAAGAGACGATAATGAGGAGGGAGAAGAAAGGAAATATTGCAGCCCAGGTTGACGCCAGACGGGATCTCCAGGAGCATTTCCAAACCCGCAAGTAGATGGGACAGAAAAGAAAAAAAAAGAAGAGTCTTTCATGCAAGCCTTATGCGTGCCCTTTTT